TAAACGAACCATGTTCTATGGAACCAAATGTGAAATATTTTGGATGTTTTATGCTATTAATTTATATAATATGGTGATAAAAAAAATAATATAAAGTATATATTATTTTATCTAAGACGAGAGACTATGAAGTGCTTTTAAATCTAAAACATTAAAAATAAATTTATTTCACAGTTTATAGCTGTTAATTTGAGTAAATTTTACCAGTAATAGGATAGGATAGGATTTAATCATGCAAGTATAAATGTAATAAAACCTTACACCATTGCAATTTTTTATTAAATATTGATCCAATTATAAAATTGATTAATTTAATTAAAATTATATATTTATTTTTAAATATAATTATATCATTCAATAACACAGTAAAATCTAAATCTAACAAACCTTTCATAATAAGTTGGAATTTGAAGCAATAAAATATAAAAAGGGATTATTGACTTTAAAGGGAACAGTAGTGGTCGGTCCTATTTTCGAGCAGCAAGCAAAGCAAAATGCGTATTTAAGGACTGAGCAAAATGAAAAAGTAACTGTATTTCCTCCGAAGGAAAGGCATTACAAATGGGAATGGGAATTGGAAAGTTTAAAATTTAAAATTGAAAGAAAATTTTTAAAAATATTTTTTAATACAATATTAAATATTGATTAAAATTTATTAAAATACATAAAAAAATATAAATTTTGATTTTTTATATATATTTTTCATTGACAATGATTTTGGTGAAACGAGGTGGGTCCAAAGTCCTTTGACAAAGTGTTGTAGGAGTCACCGACAGGGATATCTGGCCCTTAGATTTATTTCCTGACACACACTGTCTGTGCCTCATGCTCTTCCTCTTCTCTGTTTAGATTTCATTAATACTATTCCTGCAAATCAGTTTTACAAGGACAAAAACACAAATAAAATTTTAATTTTTAATAATTTGATAAATAAAGATAGTAAAAAATTATGATTTAATATTTTTGTATAAAATTTAACTAACAAAGTGAGGGAGAAAAAAAAATGTATGCTTGAGTCAAGATTGAGTTACCATTTTTATATTCATTCAGAAATGACCAAACATTAATCAGTGTCTTAAATTTTTTTAATAATTTTTAATAAACAAATACGTATTAATTTTCGAATTAATATCTTAGACAATAAAAAAATCACCCTCTTCAAATTTAACCCCATATTGTAAGTGGCAGCGATGTCAAGGTCAAATACGTACGTGGTAGGACAAGGTATTCATTACGTTGTGACTTTTAGCTACATTTTCAAACCACCTTCGTCCCAATACTTCTTGTCTCTGGAAAAAGGAGAGAACAAAATAGGAATGCTTCGATCTAAATATATATTTTTTTTAATTTAATGATGAATTTTAAGATAAAATTATTCAATAACAAAACTAAATTATTCGAGAGTTTACTTAAGAATTAATTTAGTCGGTGATACTTCTAACTGATGATATCGTTTTAATAGAAAAGTGAAGTTCCTGCAAATTTTTAAGACATTGTATGCAAGGGAGCGTTCTTAGCCAACATTAACTACAATTGTCTTTAGTCTAATGTTAATAGTGTTTTCTCGAATAATATAAGTTGAAAAGAAAGACATATTATTATTATTATTAATTCAAGAGATAGAAAGTTTATTTCGTCGTCTTGAACTCAAATGTTATGAATTAAAAAAAATGGTAAGAATATTGTATCCTCTTCTGTAATGATATTAATTGTAACTTTTATGTTTGATTTATATTTACAAACTTTTAAAATCAATGAGTAACGGAACTTGGTCGTGATCATCAATCTCTTCCTTCCAATTTCTAGTGTTACCAAAGAAAAGAAAAGAAAAATCTTAAGAAAAATTGCATTCGTTTCGATCAATCATTTCGAAGTCGGTGAGCAAAACCCTAATAGAAAACACGATATCCTCTCACAGCCACAATAAAGATTGCTATATTGGTCCCACTCTGATTATAAATTCATTAACTAAGATTCCCGACAACGACCATATGATCCTACTTTGCAAGCCACACGAAGAAGGAAGATGAAGTCACAGAAGATGCTGATGATAAACACATAATAATTTTTAGATCAGAATAAAACATAAATTAGTTTTGTTATGTTTTAAAATAAAATTAAAATAGAATGTAAGATTAAAATAATACATTTAGATTTCACAAAAAATTGTAAAATTAAGAAAAACATAATAAAATAATTTTATTTGTGTGACAAACACTATCTTAATATTTAACATCATCTTTTTTTTTATATTGTTTGGTTGAAAAAATGTTTTAATGCCTATCTTTAGTTTTCTATATCTAACATCTCTTTTGTTTAAACGTATGGGTACATTTTTAAAAATTATTTAATATATATACTTTTTGTTATATTAGAAATCATAACTTAAATTACTCAAGCTACCATTAAAAGCATGTTGGTTGTAGGTAAATTGTTAAATGTCTTTTTTTTTGTTTTGGTAGCTAATACTTTCAGGCTAGATTTGTTTTTTTCTCACTCCGTCACTTTAATTTTATCTTTCTGGACTATTGTTAATATAAAAACCTACCCTTTGAAAAATATCGCGACTAAGGTTATTAAAATGATGATTTCATTTATATAAAATCTTAATTTTTTAAAACCTTTATTTCCTTTCTTACTATCTTCATCTTCTTTTCCTTAATTAACAGAACAACAAAATTTTCAATATTTCTTTCTTTCTTTCCTATTTTCTTTCACTCAATCCAAATGAGACATTCTCTCTCTCTCTCTCTCTCTCTATATATATATATATATATATATATATATATATATATATATATATTAATGACTGTAGCATCAGTTCAATCCATTAACTCGAGGGTCCCAGATTCATGCTCAACACGTCCAATTCAGTATATATATTCATGAAGAGAACAAAATCACGCATACATTTATTATCTTTGACACAAACGTATGTAAACTTGCGTATAGTATATTGAGTAAGCATCATAATTTTCTTGCTTGTTTTGCCCTTTGGAATGTGCTTGTCAAGTGCCAACTTCAACAATAAAAAAGATAAAGGGTGGAATCTGTGTGACTTTGATCGAGGAACTTGGAATTTATTACTAGCCGTTGAGCTTTTAAAGAGACCAAGGAAATCATTGATCATGTGATGAATTAAAAGTATTATTATATTCATATCATCAACAAGGTGCTCATACAACTTTGGTTGAGTAAAGTAAAATAAAATAAAATAAAATCTCGATTTGAGTTTCACTCATCTCTTTAGATTAAGATAAATGGAAGTTATCTATAGGTAATCTATGAACTCAAATTTTTCTTATTTTAAATTAGGGTACCATTTCTTCTCCTAAAATTTATGTGTAGGTAAAGAAACATGGTGCTCATATAATTTAATTGGGTCTTGAGCGAAACTGTAAGATGGACAAAGAATGGGGCTAGAAATAGAAATCACATGGGCTTTTGAAAGCCTATTAGTTTACTTGGAATCTGGGCCAACCTGAAATATGGATATAAGGGTAGAAAATCAAAGCATTTTGGTGGTTTGGTTTCAATTTTCAGAATCAATACAAAAATTTGGACCCAAGAAGGTTCGGTACAAAAATAAAATATATAATAGTTCGACTTAAAAAATTGAAAATAAAAAACTTCAAAAATTGGCATCTGAATATAAATATAAATAATTGGAAAAAACAATAGAATCGTCGACAGCAGGATTCGAACCTGCGCAGGCATAGCCCAACAGATTTCGAGTCTGTCTCCTTAACCACTCGGACATATCGACGGTTTTATGGAGGAATTATGTTATAAAAATAATTATTTCTTATGATTGGATAAAAGAACTATCTATGATTTTTTTTTATTAAACCGTTTGTAATTTTGAAATTGAACTTAGACAGCTTTAAGATCCACAATGCTACAAATATATCATAACAGTCACACGTACAAAAACAAGATTAATTTCTATTGTTTGTAATGAAATCATTTTTATTATATCTTCTCTTTAAGATATAATATTGGATTGATGGAAAAAAAAATCAATTATAATCTTTAAATTTTTCAAATTAATATTTTGATTTTTTTTTCATTTTCTCTCTCTCTCAACTTCTCATTTATTTATTCTTAAAATAAGTATTAAATTTTTTTATATTAAATTAAATTTTTCACTTTTGAGAGCAATTAATCTAATTAATTTATATCATTTTATACATAATGATACGTATCACTTCTATAAAATGTTATTTATCAGTACAAAAATATGATACTTAAAAATTATGTCTGTTAATATAATCATAATTTAATAAAAATTAAATTATTAATATAAACATAATAATTATATATATATATATATAATAGGGTTATTAAAATAAATTTGGCATGACAAGTCAATTTGACTAACTTACTGAATTGGTGGGTTAAACTGAATATTTTGAATTCATCAACTCGCTTAGTTTATCTCATTTTGACTTGTCAAAATGTAAGTCAATGATGTACTGAGACGAGCTAGTATATTGAATTTATTTTTTAATTTTAAAACTTAAAATAATTATTTATTAATTATTTTAATATAGAAATATTTGTTAAATATTTTTTATTATTTAATGTAATTTTTAAATATTTTTTTGATTAATTTTTGGTAAGTTGGCTCATTAATCTAATTGCCCACCAACGTTTTTTTAGTTTTTGATGGATTAACTTATTAGCACGTTAGTCTACTGTTAGCTAGACTAGAAAATTATTCCATTTTTTTAAATGAAACAAGCACAAGTTAACCCGTTTTTTAATGAACTTTTGGCGGATCGCAGGCCGACATGTTTTGCTACCTCTAATGTATAATATACTAATAATCTATATATTAATAATCTAACCCCTCCTCGATTAGCGTGAAGAGCACATACACAACATGGTTTTGCTTAGAAAGCACTAACTCGTCACAAGTTTTATGATTGCACTTTTATAAGGATCAACACAATATTACAGTATCAAGCTGCCTTTACATGCAGCATTAATTGGCACATCTAAATCACTTGTTCCCTTGTTGACACCCCTCTTTCCATGTAGCAAACTGAATGCTTAGGCTTTGCATTAACTTCTCCAAGATCTGCTGCTTTGGTGCAACTGTGAGGTGGATCACTGCCTTTATAAGCCTTACAAACATAGCTTATAAAGTTCTGAAAATCCTGTGGCAGAAGAAATTTGCAAACTCTTGTGAATTTCCTCAATTTTTTTAATTTCATTCACTATATAATACAACTTATATATGTATATGTAAAGCACAAATTTAAGTGCCATAATTTGTTTTCTAACTAGAGGTATATCTTTAAAAGTCCAACTTGAGAATGGTGTGCGTTAGGCTGATACAAAAAAGAGTACTAAGAATATGCCATCATATTTCATATTCACTCTTTGTATTGGTTAAAATTTACTAAAAACTATAAAAATATGAGTAATGTGTGAGACACACATAATTTTTGGCGCGTTACTAGCATTTTTCTTAAAAAAAGTCTTAAAACTAACCTCATTGAGTGGTGTTCCATCTACAACTACCCATGGAACATACGTGTGTGGAGGCCTCAGAGCACTTGTTTCAGCTGCATACTTAAGCTCCAGCTGCATAAAGATGGTAAATGTTACTTGAGAGTAGAAAAATTCAGCCAAACAATGATATACATTCTCAAAGCACATCTGATACACACACATGTATGTATGTAAATATATTTCTTGAAAGAGATAGTATAAACATTCTGCTAGTTTCGCAAAATGATTTTGACAATTTATCATTAAGAAAGATAAATGTTCAGATCTATTATACCTTGTGAAAGTAGTTGCAGCATAGAAGCTAAAAATAATCTATGAATATAAGGTAATTAAAAATCATATTAAACTGATTTAGAGTTCTGTAAAAATCAAAACCAGGACCAATTTTTGGAAGTAATTGATAGAATAAGTTAAAACTACCTTTCATTATTTGTGATGAGCGAATAGCAAATGGCAGCCAGATCAAGGCATTGTAACTAGTGCCTGTTTTACTATCCAAATTTCACATAACAGAACCATTAACTGTATGTTGACATGGATGATCTTTACTCAAAGTGAGATTTGATTATCTATTTTACTTAGAGGGGATTGGTTTAACTAAAGAATCAAGAAGGATACACCAATTCTGCATCTGTAAAACTGTTCAAACTATCCAATTCTCAAGTTTCCACAAGTTTGGTTCTTTTAGCAGTGTTAGTCAAACATCAAGGTTCATAAGAAAACAATCATAGCAGAAAAGAAAGGTTATTTAAACACATCTAAATTTTAGAAAACTTAAAATATATTTGTGATAGAAAATGGGGAATATACATGTTCCTAAGTGCGTGTTTGAAACCTAATAAAATAAACGTGAAAGTTATAACTTGTATGTTTTAAAATGAACGCACATTTGAGTGAATTTGTTGCTAATCCAAATACTGGTAATACTATCTCTGTGAGAGCATGGAATGACAAAGGCAAGTACTGAATCAGAGAATAGCACTAACCTTTTTTCCATATTCACTTTTATAACACTGAGTAATAGGTTTTGAATCCAGATGTAGTTTCTCAAAACAAGATTTCCACTCTTCGGGCTTACCCTGTTTTGCCAAATCCTCAACACAATAGATGAAAGGAAAATGCTTGTTCTGCAAAAAAGTGTAAGCTTTATAAATACTTACAACAGTTATACATATGCAAAGTATGGTTATACTGATTCAACATTAAGATTAAGAATGATCTGTAACCCAATAAGTTTAATTAAGTTTAAAACAAATAAGATCATGTAATTGCCCATTCATTTGCATCTACAAGACAATAAACACACAGAGACAGAGCATATTCTAAAGCTATATCCAATATTTAACTGGCCTAGGATTTTATGGATTGACATTTGACAGGTAAGGTAACTGTTCTTATTTACTTTAGTTTGCAATCCCATTAAATACTTTTCTGTTGATCACATTATTCCTAACCCCAATTAAAGAATTTATTGTTAATGAACGAATTTATAACATTTTCTTATTTAACAAAAGAGGCAAAGCAAAACTAACCGGTTGAGGCCAGATATTAATGGCACAAGCTTCAACTGTGTTGAGAAAGCACTCATAAGGTCCATGCTGCAATCCTCATCCAAAATAAAATCAAAATGAACAAATAAAATTAATGAATGCTGAGTAATAATATAGAGAAGATTGGAGAAAAGGTACCTGGCAGTAAAAGGTGTCATTGTGTCTGAAAATGGCATTACCCCATGGAACAAGTTTGAGGTCAACGATGGTGATGAGGTCATCTTTGAAGATTTTGGAAAGGTGATTGACAATGAACTTGGAGCAGTCAGGACATAAGCTTTCATAGTACAACTCCAAGGAGACTTTGCTATGAGATTGTGATTGAGATTGAGAGGAAGAGAATAAGGCAAAAAAAGAGAGGGATAAGAGAAGCGAAGCAGAAACCATTGCTGAATCTCAAACTGCTTCAAGGGGAGAAGAGATTTCAGACTATTTTGCATGCAGCTATAAATACTAATTCAGGAAAGAATCCTACTTTTAAAAATTATATAATTATGAGTGAGAAATATTAAATTAGAAACAAGAAAAAGTGGTACTCATTAATTTTTTAAATTATTAATAAATTTTAATTAATTATTGAAAGTATTTTAAAAAATGTATTAGATAGTATATTATTTTTTAAATTTTTTGGTAAATTTTAATCAAAATATTTTAAAAATGTGTATTAAAGAGTATGTTATAACGTTTTTTATATTAATATTAGTGATTATTTTACTAAATTTAAATAAAAAAAAAAATAAAAAGTATAGATTTTTTATAAAAATATTATACTTTTTTATTTTTTTAAAAATTTCTCTTATTTATTTTTTTAAATTTTTATAAAATAAATTATTATTAACTTACGATAGATTTTTTATTTTTATACTGATTTTATTTTGAATATTTCTATAAAAATTTATTTAAATTGTGGCATAATAATTTTTGTGAATTTTTATTTCTTTGTTCATCACATCATATTATTTATTAGAAATTATTTTATAAATATCTAAAATATCTTTAAAAAACATAAAAAGTAATGTTATATAATAAATATTTTTTCTAGGACACAGTAAAAGTTTACGTATAATAATTTTATTAAAATAAAAAATATTAATTTAATATATTAATGATATGTTTTTGTCAACAATTCATTAATAACGTGGAGGCTATAATTTTTAATAAAAATTTATTATTTTTAATTACTTAACATTTACTCTTAAATACATGTTATAAAAGTTATATAAAAATAAAAAAAAGATATAATAGCATTAATGAAATGTTTATAAATGAAAGTTTTTTTTTATTACTTCTTTTTATTACATCTATTTGTTGCATTTTAACAGGAGAATTTATGACAGTATTTATAAAACTAGTAAAACGGCTAGTGAATTTACATAGAAACGAGAGAGAAAAGTAAATGTATGCAAAAGGTAAACATTTTTTTATAATAAAAATATAGTTTTCCTATGATATTTTTTATTTTTTAAGTTTAAATAAAATTTTAATTTGATCATTTAATTTTAAATTAATTTTTATTCAATGTAGTTTTCTAAATTATTTTATATGTTAATTTTTTTGTAATTTTTATTTATCTTTCATTTTTTTATTTGTCCAAAACTTTATTTTAAATATTTATTTTTTATTTATAAAATTATGATAATAAAAATTAGAATACTAGACATTTGATAACTTTAAGAATAAAATAATATTTTATAATTTCATAAAATAAATTTATTTTCTTATAATTTTTATTATTAATTTGAAAAAATTAATCTTTATTATGTATTTAAAAGCATATTATTGCAAAATGTTAACTAATTGTGTACACGCTCTTTTTATTATTTTTTAGTTATAGTTTTATATTGGTTAATTTAACTAGTTCATTTTATTTTTTAGTTTTATAATTTAAATATGTACTATATATAATTTCAAAATATAATATTTAGACAACTCAAATTTATTTTAATTATTATTTAGATGACAATGTAATGAAATGTTGAATTTGGATATACCGCAGTAAGCACCGGACGGCAGCTTCCAGTTGTTTTGAATTTGAATTTATATTTTGAATTGAGGTTTAAATTTGAATTTTAAAATTATATTCAAATTTAAATTTTATCTTTTTGAATAGAGATTTTAAGAGTCACAATTAAAAATTTATTTCTCTTTCGTATATTAATACTAAGATTTTCCATCCCAAAACTATTTTGTCTCTTATATTTGCATCATTTTTTTTATTCTGGTCGTCATCTTTATAATGATAATATTTTTTATTAGAACAATATTTTTATAGAGTAGATCGTTCAAGAGATTTTTTTTTTTATATATTTAGAATCTTAAATGCTTTTTATTAGTTTTCTTTGTTTATAATTATAGATAAATAACCACCAATTATCAAAGAGTTTAGATAGATACTTATAATGTAACTTTTTTGAATATAAGTTTGATTTTACGTTATTAGTGCTAATTTATAATTGTTTTTTTGTGGTTATTATTATTCTTGAATTAGTCACTCAAAGATAAATTATAGTTAATCAATTAATAAACATCATACCAATGATAAATTAAGTACAAGAGTTCGAAGAATTCATCTATCACTTATACTTTAATTTAACAAATATAATAAAACTTAACGTTTTTATTTAATTGTTAGTGTCTATGATCATCAAAGTAACAGTTAAATAAAAAATTTGTCATTATTTTATGATTATTGAATTATAATAATGACCGATTAAATGATTGGTAATTACAATAATATAATAATTTATAACTAAATTAAAATATATCCAAGTGTTTAAAAAAAGAAATCAAAACCACATACTTAATTCCATATATTTTACTACACAATTTCTTCACTTTTTTGTTCTCTTATCAATTTACTTCAATTTTTATTATTATCAAGCTAAAAATCTTAATCAATTACATCACTTAACATTTAAAGAATATTAATAATAAGTGCTTATAAATATAGTCTCAATAAAAACGATATTAGTAATTTAAAATACATTTTTTACTTATCTATTAATTAAAATTTTTTTTGAAGACTTTAAAATCCACAATGTTTTTGAAAGACAACTAAACAATTTATTTCCATATTACATGGAAAACATATCTACCTTTAAATAAAATTCCATGAGAATAGATTTGATTCCTTAAAAAAATAGTTTTCAAACCTTTTCATTTTGTTTCCTATCAAAGTATCTGCCAATAAAATTTACAATCAACTAAAGTTTGTTTGAAAGTTTAATAGAAGATAAAAAAAAAATGTTTAAAGAATAAGAAAGAGAAGTAAAAAGAAATAGAAAGAATAATAAAAAAAAATTCAAATTTAAAAAAAATTAAAAACATGAGTTTACAAAAATTTAGAAAGATTTATAAGAACTTTCCTAACATATAAAAATGCCTAAACAAAGCTTATCATCAAATAAACATTTCGTCCCTTCTCCCTTTGAAATTAACTCCTATACAAAGCAATTTCATGCTATTGGCTTTATCAAACCCGTCCTTTTGTATCTTTATTTAACGTTTCCACCATTAAATTTATTTATACACACATACTCTTTTCTAGTGATCAACACAAGATAACAGGAACAAAATGCGTTACAACTTAAACCCCAAATATCAGTTTATTATGTAGGAGAGTCCCATGGCCATGCCCTATTCTACAGAACGTGGGACTCATAACAAACCGCTTTTACATGCAGAATTGAAACATCTAAATTGCATCACCATGGTTCATCTGGAGCATCCTTGATGCAATGGTTGAGCTCACACGTTCCCATGTTGGCAACCTTCTTTCCTTGTAGCAAACTGAATGCTTAGCCTTTTCTTTAACTTTAAGATATGAAGCTTGGGCGCAAATGTCGGGTGCATGAGGGCCTTTATAAGCCTTACAAACATAGCTTATGAAGTTCTCATAATCCTGCAGCATAAGAAATTTGCAAGTTCTTTTGAATTTCCTCAACATTTGTAATTTCATTCATCATAGAATAAAACTTTTACATATATATATATATATATATATATATATATATTTAAGGCACAAATTTTAAGTGTCATAAATTGTTTGTTAATTGGAGGTTTATCTTAAATTCAAACACTAGGAATGGTGAATGTTTGGGCTGATACAAAACATTGCAAAACTAACCTCATAGAGTGGTTCTCCATCCACAACTACCCATGGAACATACTTATGAGGAGGCTGCAGAGCACTTGTTTCAGCTTCGTACTGTAGCTCCAGCTGCATAAATATGGTGAATGTTACTTGAGATTAATAATTTCAGCCAAACAATGATATACAGACTCAAAGCATTCATATCTTTTTTTTTTCCCATCAAGAGATAGTATTCACATCCTGCAAGGTTTGAAAAATGTTGAAAAAGGATTTTGACAAATTATGATGAAGAAAGATGAATGTTCAGAAACTACTACAAATTGGCAGGTCAGTTATACCTCTAGGAAGTAGTTGCAACATAGATGCTATAAATCATCTATGAATATAAGGTAATTCAAAGGTCATGTTATACTGCTGACTGAGTTCTGTACAAATCAAAACTATGGAATAAGTTAAAGTTACATTTCATCATTTGTTTGATTCTGTCGACTTGAAGAACAAAATCAAGAAGTAGATGAGCACATAACAAGTTTCGTATCAAAGCATCGTTAGCAACACCAGATCCACTATTCAAATTTCATAAAACAGAACCAGTATATGTATGTTGACATGGATGATCCTTACTCAAAGTGGCAATTATCTATTTTTCTTTCCTATTGGGATTGGTTTAAATAAAGAATCAACATGGCTCCACCAACATCTGTATGACTGTTCAAACTTTCCAATTCCTGAGTTTCCACAAAGTTGTTACATTCAGCAGTGTTAGTAGTAAAACGTCATGGATCTTAAAACGGTTTTTCTATCGTGTGCTCAGGCGCACAAAATAAAAACATATGAATAGTAAGTTTTTATTGAAAATAACACCATATCAAATAATTCAATGCATTTATAACATTAAATGCAACAATTTTCAATAAAACTTGTTTCTTGATTTCTTAACAATGTTAGAAAAACAATTCATAAAAAACAAATATAGAACAGAAGAAAGGTTATTTAAAAACATTTACATTTTAGAAAACTTGTATAGTTGTATACCTCTCTTAATGACAGAAAACATATACATATTTGATATTACTATATCTGTGACAGCATGGTATTTCAAGGGCAGGTACTAAATCACAGAACAGCACTAACCTCTTTTCCCTCTTCACTATTATAACACTGAGTAATAGGTTTTGAATCCAGATCCAGTTTCTCAAAACAAGATTCCCACTCACCGGACTTCTCATTATAAACCAAATCCTCAACACAATAGATGAAAGGAAAATGTTTGCTCTGCAAAAAGGAGCAAATTACATACACATAACATTAATACACATGCAAGGTACTATTATACTGAATCAACAGTAAAATAATACTAAGAAATGATCCGTGACATTAAACAGTATTACTTTTTTAACAGTTTTTTTACCATCTGTATTGTATTAAAGTACATGTATTTTGAATAAATAGTATTTTATTAAAAATTGTAATATCAGTAAAAACTTATTATACATGTATTTCTACCATGTGTCTTTTTGGACACACATTAAAAAAAGCATTTTTAATATCTAAAAATTGACATTATATCTAATCATTTTTATTTTTTTATATACACAACTTGAAAATATTAAAAATTAAAATAATAAAAAAAATACAAGAAAAAATTCTGTACCAAAGGGGGTAAAACAAAACTTACCAATTCGGGCCAGATATTAATTGCACAAGCTTCAACTGTGTTCAACAAGCACTCATATGGGCCATGCTGAAATCCTCAACCACAATAAAATCCAAATAAATAAAAAATTGATGAATGAAAAGTAAAGAGAAAATTGGAGAAGAGGGTTTGTTAAGAGTACCTGGCAATCAAAGGTGGCATTGGTTCTGAGTTTGGCATTACCCCATGGAACAAGTTTGAGGTCAACGATGGTGATGAGATCATCGGTGAAGATTTCGGGAAGGTAATTGACAATGAAGTTGGCGCTATAAGGGCATAAACTTTCATAGTACAACTCTAAGGAGACTTTGTCATGAGATTGAGATTGAGATTGAGAATGAGAGAAGAAGGCACAAAAAGAGAGGTATAAGAGAAGAGAAAAAGAAAGGGTTGAAGAGGAAGAAACCATGGTGGAACCTTAAACCTGAATCTGAAACTATGTTTGAGGGTCAATATTTGAGGAGCTATTTTTTGCATGCCATGTGGGGGACCCAACGTCAAACTGTGATGACATCAGCATACAAGATTTTTTTTGTTCGACAGCGTTTATAAAATAATGTTATAAATCTACTTTTGTTATAGTTTTTAACGTATTTTTTATTTCTGTTATGTAGTTTATAATAATTTATTTATTTATTATTCAATTTTTTTATAGTATCGGTTAAAATTTTTTCTTTCTCTGCCTAAAGTAATATAGTGCTTTTTTTTTAAATTATGAGTAGTGATTGTCTTACTCTTTAAAAGTGAAAAACTATTATTTTATTTTTTTAAATTACTAGACAATAATTATATCTAAATTAGAATAAAAGTATATTATGTATATTATTTGAAATTATGCACTTTATTTAAATACTGAGACAACTCAGTTTTAAGTTAATTATTATTTAGACCCTCAAATTTAAATCTAAAAATTTAACAAGTTCAAAATCTTATACATTTGAGTTAAGTTAGATCAAATTTATCTTTACCTCTACCTATGTCACGGTAGATCGTAGAGATAAATTATGGAATACGAATATTTAAGCTGTGTTTAAATTTTGAATTTTAGAATTTTTTTTTAAATTTTAAAAAATATAATATTTGTAAAATAAAGTAATCAATATATTAAATTTACATTACTTTTCTATTTTGTAAAATTCCATTAATACAAATAATCTATTAAAAAAATCTCTGTCTTTTCATTCCAAAAGTCTAAACATGCCTTTAATTTTTAAGATTCTGAATCTGATCAATTTTTAGTTGCCCTGAATGAGTGAACCAAAATGTAACATGTATCTGGTGTTATAATTTTGTTTGGTTTCATGTTTGCGACTTGTCAAAATCAGATACATCTTAGCTACACTTGTTTTCTGATATTTTTGACACAACTGGTAACATTTTTGTCTGTTTCTTAATATATGATCTTTAAATTCGACTCTTTTAAAATAATAAATAAAAAAGTAATTTTATTTACATTTTAAAAATAGTTAAATATAACAATAATTAAAATAAAGAGTAGATACATACTTATTTTCTTACTTTAGAAAAATTAAATTTTTAATATTGTGTAATAATGCATTTATTTATATAATATTTTAAGAATTAAAATAATTAATTAATATTAATTCTATTATTATCTCTTAATATTTCTACTTGACAAGATGATAAAGCATGAATGGAGTGATAAATTTTGAAATATTTTGATAAAATATAATTATATCTTTACTATAATTGATATTTTCCAATAGTATTCTTTTTAAGTATTGTAAAAATTAAATAATAACTTTTTAAAAATAAAACTAACAGTTTATATAAATTAAATGCAACATATAAAATCATTTGAATAATAAATAATTGATTTAATATTATTTTTGGTTTTTATATTTTATTATAAGTGCAACTTTGGTGTTTTAAATTTTTACTATTAAATTAAGTATTTTATCTTAAATTTTATTTAATAATTAGTAAATATAATGATGTGTGATATGACATTGATTCGCATAAATTAACAAATATATATATATATATATATATATATATATACAATATTTAAATATAAAAAGTGTTTCAATACATTAAGAATCAATGCTATGTCATACTTTTGTTACATTTCAGTTAATTATTAAATAAAATCTAGAGTAAGGAACTGAAATAATTAAAAGTTTAAATATAAATTCAAATAATTAAAATTACAGTTGTGCTAGAATATGAAAAAAAATTACAGCTGTGCTAAAATGGAGAGATAAAATTTGAATTATATTTCCAAATTATTACTGCATTAATCAATTATGATTTTAATTTAATTTTTAAATATTAACACATTAAGTATGACATGTCTTAATTAAAATATTATATTTATATTTTTAATTTAAAAAATCTTAGGTTTTTTATTTATTCTTATTTAGCATAATATAATTTTTTTATTAACAATAAATATATGTAATATTTTATTTAGTTTATTTTTATTTATAGAAATCATTTAAGTTAAATTCACCCTTGGGAAAACATATGAGAAATTCATTAGTAATTATAAATTCCACATTATGTAAAATTTAATTAGGTATTTCACTTTGTAGAATATCAGTAAATCGACCTAAAGTAGCTGCACTCTTGAATTATGCCTACTGGACGTAACATTCTCCAATATTTCTAAACTGACTATTCATCTTGGCAAAGAAGTTTTCCCGGCAGGAGAATTTTAAAATTTTTTTAAAATATAAAATTAACAATAATTAATATTAAATTTGTTTAAAGACATATTATTTAAAATTCTTCTTATTTGACATAAAAAATATCTAATTAAAATTCTAAAGTATTTTAAAACACTTTTTCTTACTATTTAAATAAATACAATCTAGTAATTTAAAATTACTTTATTCAAACAAAAATTAAATTATCTTAAGAGGTAAATAATTGTATAGTAAATTATTATTTTTAATTTTTTTAATAATTTTATAATTAATCTAATTAAGATAAAGTTATCTAAATACATGTGGAAGAAATCAGTAATCACATATATGTTGTCCCATTTTCCATTTCCACCATTTGCAGGGACATCTCATCTAGGTTTGATACATGCTGAGTTCGACTACTTCGTAGGGAAGGACATTCAACTTCTTCCATCCTATGAAAAAATGCATGAGGCGCCCAACCTATACATTTCCACAGAACATAAATGTCAGCAAACTAAAGATTTATATATATGTCCAGTTTAAATTGCCTTCTAATTTGCATAATTTTTTAATTATAAAATATTGTTTTTAATAAGTTTTTATACACGAGATTTTCAATAATGTTCAGCTTTTTTTTCTTTCTAAATCTATAAAATGTAATTTGTTTTAGAGATTTTATAAAAAGTATAAATTACCACGTGGGTTAGTAGGAAAGGGAAAGAGTAGCAAATAGCAGATTGAAGCCACTGTAAGTCCTGAAGCAACAAATCAAAGGGGTTAACAGACATAATTTGCAAAAATTAATGTTGAAATAAAACAATAATGCATTGCATTGATTTATGATAACAACTTTAACTAGGAAACAACCTATCATGCCTCCAGCAAACACATCAGTCCAATGATGCCAGTAATCATCAACTCGAGTAACTCCAATAAGAGCAGCAACAAGTAAAGGAAGCAAAACTAGGCATAGTTTCCCAATATGACCCCTACGATCAAACACTCTAATTTTCCCTGATAAATACCATGAAAGAAAACCAAGACCAGCAAAGGACCCTGCATTTGGTTAATTGACCAATATTAATTACCAAATTAAAAGACCAAAGTATTCAATTATAAACCATGAAATCTAGTAAATTTGATCATTTTTAAATTCAATGCTTAGAGAACCTTCTAGACTATGTTCATGTCATCATCATATGATCAATAATAACACACTTTTTAAATATATTTTTAACACATTTTTTATGATTGGTTAGTTCTTTAAAAATAAATCATTTTACAAACTTATGTTTTGACTTTTTAACTTACATGAAGTATGTCCACTTGGAAAACTTTTGTATCCTTCCTTTATAATAGCCTTAATCCCAGTGCAAAGAACATCACCAGTGTCTTTATCAAACACCTGAATATGAATCATCATACACAGAGCATAACAAAGCTAGCAATCAGTATCAATTCAGTTTTGGCTTTCATAAATGTTTACAAAAATGTATCATGTTTTTACTTTGTTTCTTATTTTTAAATATTTGTACAGAATTGACTGAACACAACAAAATATTGTTTTTATTACTGTACAAATCTCTAAAATAAAAAATAAAACAATATGAACAAAAACAAAAAACATTTTCCCAAACTAATCAGACCATTAAGATTATAAAATATGGTGAATGAGAAAAAAACACACTGGTTTTTTGTCAGGGAAACACCGTTGGAAGAAGTTTGGTCTCGGTCTACCAACAGCATCTTTAATGGAATCTGTGATAACTCCAGTGATTAAGCTAGCAAACATGAGACCTAAGTTCCAAAAGAAAGAAGCCATGCAAGTGGGACACAAGGGATCAAAAGCAGAAAAGTCAGGGTAACATATTGAGAGAGCAGAAAAAAAATACATACCCAATGTTGCATGGTGTAAATCATAGGCATCCCTTCTGGCAAAGTAAAACGCAACAAAGATAAGAATGGGGAGGAGAATAGAGAGGATCTGTTACAGGAACAATCAAGAAAGTTAAGTTTGTATCTTAAACTATAATGAGGTTGTAATATATTATGGATGCATTTGGATATACTCTTATTTTTTGAACGAAGTTAAAAATAATATATTTTGACAAACTATATAAGGATTTTATTGATATAGTTAAAAAAAAGCTTATTAAAGTTTTTAAGTGTTCATGAGGTCTTCTAAATATGTTTTATAAAAAGAATTTCCATTGATTATTAACATTTTGGCAGCAGGTACTTACGGGAACAGCCCACATAGGTATGGTATCTTCTTTGAAGGGGAACATAAGATCTGTCATCATCTCTTTCCCAACATAACGATGAAAAGGTTCTATGAAATTCAAGATTCCTTCCATAACAGCAAGAAGCTGAAGAATCAGCCAATCATGCTTGTGACTTAGTGCCAGCTTGCTTCCAGGCGATTGAAAAACCATCTTTTCCAAGTATGGCTATAATAGAAAGGGTTCAGTCACTTTTATACTTTCTAATGGTTAATAAGTGACTTTAGTCCTCTAATAATCTTTTGTTTTATTTTAACCCTTTTTTCTTTTAACTACTACAACTAACAAAATACAATTTTCGAATATAACATATAGGTAAATGTAAGTTTATCACGTAAATATATAGGGAAAAAATATCAACTCTACAGAATGGCAGAAAGAATTTTAGAATATAACATACTGACTACTGAAACGAATATTACCATAAAGTAACATAAACAAACATACATAAAGGCCTGTAAACTAGTGACATTAATGTTCTATAATCTGAATAAATGCTAAGAATTTAAATTCATTAAGGGACATAACAAACATTCCTCCTATGACAAAATCGAGTAAATATCCAAGGCATATTGAGACAAAACTTATGATGTAATTCACTGTCACACATTCATGATCAAATAAGACAACTAAAGCAATAAAACTGAAAACTGGAAGTTGTTATGTTTATATATATTTATGTACTGAGACAGACCCTTAAGAAAAAAATTGAAGGAATCTATATTCAAATAGGACATGAAAAATGAACCTTTAGCTTTAAACACAAATCTTTGGAAAGACAGGGACGTGCGTGTTGCAAACTGCACGCCCAGTCTCCAACGTAAAAGCTACGGGAGAAACTTCAGACAAGTATCAGTCTGGTGAATGATTTCAGGAATGAATGCATCTTAGGATCTAAAATTAGTATAAGTGTTCTAATTTCTTTAGTAATCTCAATTATGTATTTATATAAAATTTGTATGCATTTTTAGAGTATTTCTCAACCCACAACAGTTTGCTATTGCTTGTGAAATGTAGAGATCACCAAAACAAATTTTAGTTCTAACAAATTTTTTCTATATACAATATCAATAGCCAAATTGTCGTTGCTTAATATATTTGAATAATATAACTATTTATAAATAATATATTTATTATTTATTTAATTATTTTTGTTAAATTACTGCTGAGTAAATTGTATATACATGTTTGACTTTAAAATATAGAAAAATGATAATTAATGCTTTTGCTAAAGTGAATATAAAATTTAAATTACAAATAGTTGGCGACTCACACACACACAAAATTTGAGGGGACGATTGGTTTAGTTTATAGAATATTTAATTTTAAAAGAATTAATGTTATGAAAAGTAATTTATGTTTAGAGAAAAAAATTTAAAGTGAGTTTTGAATAATTAATTTTGTTTAAATGATGAAGTAAAATAACATTTGAAGTATACATATAAATATGTTGTAAGAATTTTACGAGTTTTGTACAAAAAAATCAATTTTACTTATCAATTTTTTTAAAAATATTTCCCATAAAAAATAAATTTTCAATCACATTTATTTTAAAAACAGAATTTTATTTACCAAACATGATCATCTACTGCGCAAACTCATTTAAGTGCTGCAAAGGTGAAAAATATGGCAGTTTGTCATAGTTCAATCTTAACATAATTGAATTACAAGTTCATAAATATTCAATTTTACATATTAGTTAAAATATGGCAACTATTCATCAGTTCTTGAATATGAAAATTATTCAAGTTCAACCATTTTGTCTGGCTCGTTAATTTGTTTTTTTTTCCCTTTCTGCCTTTTGGCAATTGGCGAGCGAGCCAAAAGATAAAACTTAAAAAGCAATGAGTATGGGGTGGCATAAAGTTTAAAAATTTAAAAGCTAAAATCCTAAAATCATGCATATTGGGCCTCCACTCAATCAGTATTGCCCACAGTAATTGCCCCAACATAAAGAATTAAAGACCCTTTGACCTAAAAAAGATAAAGAATTAAAGACACAAGACAACATAGCAATAAACTGATAAAAAAATGTTAGTAGTGTATTTTTTTTTTTTGAAACACATTTTTAAACACACATCTTATAATTAATTAATTTATTAATAAGTTAAAATATTTTATAAATTAATCACTAAAAATTATTTTGACTTAAAAAATTTAATTACTAAAAAATATATTTAAAAGATGACTAATAATAACAACAAAAGCAAGAGCATATATGTTCCACTGTCCTGTGTACTTATGACCATGGGCCTCAGGTTAGTCCACCCCACTCTCACCACACATTGAAAGCAGCGTGCACCAGTTTCAGCCAGCACCTACTCCTCACCAATCACCATTGACACCTAGTTACTAGCCTCCAAAATATTTTGAACGAAGTCCAGTAGTACTAAAATCAAACTCATTAACACTTTTTTTTTTATTAATTAACATATAAATAAATTTTATTTAATAATAAAAATATATTAAAAAAACGTGTTACTGAATTCTGTCAGAACAAAAAAGTGCACAGCAAAAGCTTGAAACTGAAAGCCCCAACCAAAGTTGCCACTAACTCAAGAACCAACCAAGATTGCATTTTTATTCCTTCTTCCGTTTCCAGCATCATCAAACTTCAGAACTGAGACACACCCATCTAAATGCCTTTCATTTCTTGCTTCCTCATGTTTTTTACTTTGCTCATAATCACTTGCAGCATGGGTTGTGTAGCTGAAGCTATAGGTGTGAACTGGGGCACCATGGCTTCACACCCTCTACCACCCCCCAAGGTGGTGAAGCTCTTGAAGTCAAACAACATAAACAAAGTTAAGCTCTTTGATGCCAACTCTGATGTTCTTCAAGCTCTTTCTGGCTCCAACATTGCTGTTACTGTTGGTATTCCTAACACCATGCTCAGAAGCTTGAACTCTTCCAAGAAGGTTGCAGATAGTTGGGTCCATGATAATGTCACCCGCTACATGTCTAGTGGGGGCACTGGAACTCGAATTGAGTGAGTCATATTTCTTGGTGACAGCCCTTTTGCTTTGTTCCTCTCTTTTGTTTGGGCTTTATTGTTTTGCTTTGTTTTGTTGTTGTCTTTATTCTTCTTATTATTATTCTTTTATTGAATAATTTAATTTTCACTACATAGTTACCTGTTTTGCTTTTGATTCTCTTTTGCACCCCCCCCCCCTTTCTTTGATTGATTGGTGATCATGGACATTCTAAGGGGTGGTTTTCAATTCAAGAGTTGGTGATTGCATAAGACAGGTTTATGAATTATGGAACAATTCCATAGGTGTCAAGTTGCAAGGTTTTTCAATAACCGTATGTTGATTGTCATAGCTTAAAACGTAATCAAAATAATTAACTGCAGAATGCCGGAATCTGAATTTGACCATTAAGACGCAAGAAGAAATCAGGATTATGCCAAATTTATTGAGTTTTCCTTTTTCATTCAGTTTATGTTTCTTCGCATCATTAATCAGCTTTCCTTGGTTCACTACATATTACCAGACACTTCCAAATATATTCACACATCAAGTTGAGTTGGATGTGGCATAAATAAAACAGTCAATGTTGTCTTGCTGGAGCTTATGATATGTTGCACTGCATTTTCTATCTACTACTTTGTGTGCACGCGTGTGTGCTTGCTGAAGGCACGGTACAGCAGTTAGTGGCATACATAAATAAAAAGTTCAGCTTATTTGATCTCAAATGGAAACTTTTAATTTTGTGCTTTTTTCTTTAAAAAGTTGGTTTTTGAACAAGATAACGTTACTGTTTTCTCAGTATTGAATGCTAGGAGCATGAAATGCTAGTCTGCAAACTTGCTCAAATGTTGGTGTGCACCCTGAAAATGCTGATGCTGTAGATATCTAATTTTTCCTAAGCTTTAATAATTTACAAATTATGTGTTGGCGACCTTGGCATAAAGACTGGCCTTTTGGTTTCGATTGTTTTAATCTCTGTGTGTGTGTGTTTAACGAAATTAGGTTGTTTGTGCCTGATATTTGTCAGGTCATGCGATTGAGTCTTGACTTCCCTGACACTGAAAATATGTATTAACTAAGTTCAATTGTTCTCCAAGCTTCTGTGAAACCGTAGACTGGGTTTTTACTAAAAAAACAATTCTATAACACGTACTGTTATCTATGATTCTAAGCATATCTGCCTTTCCTTTTGTCACAAATCACAGTAATATCTGATGATTGTTTTAGAGGGTAGAATAAAATCTTACAATAGAATGTTTGCCACTTGATAACAAAAGCAATGTAATGGTTCAAAAACAAGGGACATTCTTATTAAAGAGAACAATGCATATTAGGAAATTAACATTTGGGGAAGATGGAGACAGTATTATCTTGTTTCATCTTATCTTTCTTAGGGGTTTTATCAGCTCATTGAAATTCATTTGGTTATTATGCTTTGTCAGTCTGGCTAAAGCCACTGCACTGTTGAATCTCTTTTCTCCCTTAATTGAATTTAAAGTTGACATAAAATGGATTATGCATCTCTGAAGTTTGAAGTATGATTCACTATACATATGATTCTACAATATAACTTATGCAGATATGTTGCCGTTGGTGATGAGCCATTTCTTAAAAGCTATGATGAACAGTTTCATCCCTTCTTAATTGGAGCTGCTATGAACATTCAAGCAGCTTTAAAAAAAGCAAAATGGGACAGCAAAGTGAAGGTTGTGGTTCCATGCAGCTTTGACAGTTTCGGGTCAGGATCTAACCTGTCCTCTGAAGTGCGTTTCAGGCCTGACCTTAACAAAACCATGATTGAGCTCCTCAAATTTCTTGATAAGCATGGATCACCTTTCTTTGTGACCATTTCTCCATTCATAACCCTCCTTCAAACTAAAAACACTTCACTGGATTTTTCTCTCTTTAAGGAAAATGCACACCCTCATAATTTTAGCCATAAAACATACAAAAACAGCTTTGACTTGAGTTATGATACAGTGGTTACTGTATTATCAACAGCAGGATTTCCTAACATGGACATTGTTGTGGCAAAGATTGGTTGGCCGACAGATGGAACCACCAATGCAAGCTCATACCTTGCCGAAACCTTCATGAAAGGCCTTATAAACCGCCTTCATAATAACATGGGGACGCCACTTAGACCGCACAAGCCACCACTTGAAACATACCTTTTGAGCCTTCTAGATGAGGACCAAAGGAGCATTGCTTCTGGAAACTTTGAAAGGCATTGGGGCTTGTTCACTTTTGATGGCCAAGCAAAGTACCATGTGGATCTTGGCCAAGGTTCAAAGAGCCTTGTGAATGCTCAAAATGTTGAGTATCTCTCTTCTAAGTGGTGTGTTGTGAACAACAATAAAGACTTGTCAAATGCAACTGCGAGCGCTTTAGAGGCATGTGCAAATGCTGATTGTACTGCACTATCTCCTGGTGGATCTTGCTTCAACATCAGCTGGCCTAGTAACATATCATATGCTTTTAATAGCTACTATCAGCAGCATGATCAGAGAGCTGAAAGCTGTGACTTTGGGGGTCTAGGTTTGATCACAACCGTTGATCCGTCCATGGAACGTTGCAGGTTTCCTATTGAGATTGGCACTTCTCATGCAGAATTTTACAGGGTGTGGAATTTCCAGGGGGTGATTTTACTTGTAACAACCGTCTTGACATCTTTGGAGCTTTGACATAGGTAAAGATGAGGATCATTTTTGCATATCCTGCTGTAATTTTGTTGTAGATGTCTGTTGAATTAAAATGGTTAGCACTTTATTTTAATTCATGCAGGTAAAATATGCAGGATGTCAATTCGGTTAATATGTTTCAATTGTTATTCACTGCATACATCTCTGCTTAATCAATTGCATGTGGTTGATGTGAAATGAGCATTTCCTGAAATTGAGTGAAAGAGTCACAAATGTTCATGACTCAATAGGCATTCGAATGTGATCCATGATCATGCAAATTGAGTTGTTTCATTGCTTGATTAGAAATGAAAAATGTCCTTGCTTTTCGTTCTAAGTTTCATCTGTTTTCTTTATCACACTGAGCATGTTAGGAAATCACTAGCATGCTAAATTTATATTTGTTTGTCTATCTATCAATATCAATATATATACAATATAAAAAGTAAGAACTGTATTTATCTCGTTATTTTTTTTTCCTAAATTTACTTTTAAGTTTTTTAAATTTATTACTTTATCATAATACAGCGAGGCATTAAAATTACACGGCAGTGTGTCAAAACATATGGCCATGTTTAATTGTCTTTTGAACACAACCATGCATAATTTCTTCTGTAAATGCATCGAATACAACTAAATAACAACATCAGGTGAAATAAGGAAACATAGTAGAAACCAATTTGGAAAGAATTGTAGGAGTGGAAGAAGGGGAAATCACCATCGTGTGCCTTTTCGTGTCAAATAGTTCTGTGAGGAAGGATTACTTTACTCGTTTTAGGGGATTAAAATAATATGAATCACGATTAACTCAGCTCACGTAGTTAGAGTAATATTCATTAACTCAAACCGAATAAGACTACTATAAAAAGTAATACAGCTGAATTTATAGGATTTGAAGTTAGAATAACTTTTCAATTGATTCATGTGTTTGGTGGCCATTCTAAATATTATTAATGGAAACTATTCTTAAGATTTTTTTTATGTATTTATTTTTTATTTTAATAATTAAAAATTTTTATTATTAATTTCTGTGTATAATTTGGAAAGATTAGTTCTTGAATGAAAGTACTTTTAAGGGTTTTCTCAAACAAAAGTACTTTAGGGATTAATTTTTCCTTTTTCAAGTCAAGTATTTTTTTAATATTATGCATTTATCTTTTTAATTTGATATTAATTTTTATTTTTAAACTTATTTCTTTATTTAATTTTTAAATTATCATATAATATATTATAATTATTTATTTAAAAATATTTTAATTTAATAATATTTGTACTGTACACAAATTATTAGTTGAAGTTTAAATAACAATCATACAACACTCGAATTTTTTAATTGGAGCAAAATTAATCTATAATATACCAATTTTGTAAAGTAATGTAACATACTACAAAACATAATATGAATGCTCAAAAATAGATTAAAAAAATTGAAAAAATAAAAAATCAAATAATTCATAAGTTTTTTTTGTCTTAAATAATTAATAAGCTTTATCATGTATATTTTATTATTATTGTTCCAGCAGAAATTTTTTGATTAGCCCATGTGGCCCGCTAGGTAGTAAAGGTGTTAAGGATAAGGCCCTCACTCCTTGGCCCATTTCAAGGTACTTTCTTTACAATACTACACACACTCGCGTGCTCGAAAAATCTCACTGGTTTTTCTTCTCTCGCGCGGTCCCAACAAACCCTAGATCGGATCATGTCTGGAGTGTACGGTCAAGACGGCGGCGGCGGCGGCGGTGGTTCTGCGCCACCGTCTTACGGGGCTAGCGGTGGATACGGTTCTGCCGGTGGTTACGGTGCCGGTGCTGGTGGAGGAGGTAGTTATGGAGGCGGAGGCTATGCAGGAGGAGGCAGCGCTGGGGCTGGTTATGGTGGTAATGATAGCGGTGGTGGTTACGGAGCAAAAGGTAGCGGAAACGGTGGCGGCGGTGGATATGGCGGTAGCGACGGTGGAGGTTATGGCGGAAGGAGCGGATATGGTGGAAACGATGGCGGAGGCTATGGAGGAAGAGGCGGCGGTGGTCGCGGAGGTGGAGGTTACGGAGGTGGATATGGTGGTCGAGGTTTGTCGTTTTTTTCTGTTGTTCCTTTGTTCATTTGATTTCAATCTTATTATGTCGATATATGATGTGAATTTTTGCAGGTGGTGGTGGCGGAGGTGGATTTCAAGGTGGAGATCGCGGTGGCCGCGGTGGCGGTCGCGGTGGCCGCGGTGGTGGTGGTAGAGACGGAGATTGGCGGTGCCCTAACCAAAGGTTTTTAGTTTTGCTACTGAGAATATTTTCTGTTTTATTGTTAAGTGAAGCTGCGAATTCTGCTACTGGTTCTTATGTTTGTTTTCTCTATTTGGTTCGAATTTTTTATGTATAGTTGTGGGAACTTGAACTTTGCGAGAAGGGTTGAATGTAACAAATGTGGTACTCCTTGTCCTAATAGTGGTAATGATCGTGGTGGCAGCGGTGGTGGTGGTGGTGGTTATAATAGAGGAGGAAGCAGTGGGGGGTATGGCAATAATCGAGGAGGTAGATCTGGGAATTATGATGGCGGGAGAGGTAATGACTATAACGGTGGAGGGGGTAGATCTGGGAGCTATGATGGCGGCAGAGGTAATGACTATAGTAGTGGAAGGGGTGGTAATAATGAAGGTAGAGGTGGTTCATTTAGAGGTAATCAAGCTAGGGAAGATGGTGGCTATGGTCAAGTTCCTCCTCCTAATGCCCAATCTTACGGCGGTGCTAGTGGAAACTACCCATCCACATACAATTCTTATGGTGGCAATGCAAATTATGGAACAGAAGCAGTTCCCCCACCTGCAAGTTATACTGGTGGACCTAATTCATATCCCCCATCATACGGGGGTAACGTGGCTGGTTATGGTGGAGATAATCAAGGGGATGGACGAAGTGGTGGTAGGACTGGGCCTGCAGCTGGATATGACAATAGCTATGGTGCTGGTAATCGAGGTGGATTTGGTGGACCTCCTGCTGAGCCCCCTGCTGCAGTGAAGCAGTGTGATGAGAATTGTGATGATACATGTGACAACTCTAGAATCTACATTTCAAACCTCCCGCCAGATGTGACAATTGAAGAATTGAGGGAACTTTTTGGAGGAATTGGACAAGTAATATTCTGATCCTTTTTCTTTGAGCTATACACAAACTTTACATAGAGGGTCATTTTGGCAAATTTCTTTGATGAAGCTTTTATATGACATGCCCTTTTCAGAGTACTCACATGTCACATGTATGTTTGATGCATGAGCAAATTTTATGGGTTATGTCAGTCAATCATGATTTATATAAGAGATATTTTACTGTTTTGTGCTGGGAAATATGGTTTTTATTTCTCTTCTCTTAGTTGAAAGAGACAGAACGTGACATTGATTTTGTTACATTTTTTAACTGTTTAGGTTGGAAGAATAAAGCAAAAGAGGGGCTATAAAGATCAATGGCCTTGGAACATAAAGATTTACACAGATGAGAATGGAAACAACAAGGGTGATGCTTGCCTTGCTTATGAAGATCCCTCTGCAGCACATTCTGCTGGCGGTTTTTACAATAGTACTTCACTATTCCCTTGTTTCTCTAATAAGAACGTTTCTGTACTAAAAGATCACTAATCATGAGTATTATATTTCAGATTATGATTTGAGGGGTTTCAAAATCAGTGTTGCAATGGCAGAAAAATCTGCCCCAAGGGCGCCTGCATATAACCAAGGGTATCCATTACATACTGATTATAGACTGTTTTCATAATAAGTCTGAGGGTCAATTTTGTTGGAATATTTAGTTGTAGCAGTGTCAATATGCTAATCCTGTGTATTGAGATCTATATTTCATATTATGTTTCATAATAATTCCAAAATTTGGTTTCCATTATATTCTCATTTCTTTAAGAATTAATGTCAACAATGAAGTATTGAGCTTATTACTCAACAATGAAAACAATAATGGAAAATGAAATGATGGTTATTAAGTTTATTTGTTTGGTTAATTAGTTAGATTGTGATTTTTTCTCTACTTTTAACCATTATTTGCTCAGTATATCTATCACATCTTATTACTGATTATGGTTATGTATCTTTGAATGTTTCTGTGTCTAAATTCTATTACTCTTTCAAAGTTTAATATTGATTAATTATTCTGCTTTTATAGGGGCAATAGGGGTGGCTATGGTGGAGATAGACGCAGAGACAATTATAGAGATGGAGGTGGTTCTGGACCTGATAGGCGTGATCATTATGGGAATCGTTCACGTCCGTACTGAGTGCTTGGACATTGAACGTTTTATGTACTATGATTTGTGGGCTGAGGGATTTATTATTTCAGTTGGCTGGTTTCTTGAACAGGAAGCAAAGAGGTAGGCTGTTCACTCACTCTGAGCAAGACCTCTTCAGCACCTTTTTGTTTCATTTGTCTAGCTGGTGGGTTTTGACTTTTAGTCAGGGATTAATTTAATCATGTGAATGTTTTTATAGAGGCAAGTGGATAGTCTCCAAATTGCTTGCTGCTAAGGTAGGTTGATTATTTCAGGTGAGTGCTGCTTTCATGAAAATATGCCTAATACTTGCTTGGTGATTAAACCATGTGTCATTATGTGGGTAAGTGCTTGCATTCCCAGCTCATCCCATGTAGCATTTGGTACAAGCAGGTGATGGCATTAATTAATAGAATGTTTTATGTTAGTCATAGTTCCACAAATCAATAAGTTTTAGTTACAATGTGTATCAAGGGAGATCTGTTTTTTCCTGGAAAGTAGTGATTCTGGCTGCTTATTGCATTAAATTAAAGCCTTTATAATGGATCAGTTATAACTTATGCTATCATGGTCTTAGAAATTGAGGCAGTGCACAAATACTAATGTGTATTTCATGAATCATTGATTTTTCAAGTTTGGAAATCCACTGTAGTTTGAGTCAAAACTTAGAACTATAGCATATGGCAACAAGAATGGCATAAGTTAGCTTCGTAATCAAAGTTTCCATATTTTGATGAAAATGCCATGGTTTTATGTAGCAAAGCTTGTACATTTTCAGGGAACGAGCTGAAAAAGGGGAAAATTCGCAGTATTCTAATATATATAGATTTACGTGATAAAATAGTTCTAAATTGAATAATATAGTTTATATAGTAAAATAATGTCTACGAAGCTTCAATCAAGTTCCATTTCATTGTATATCAGATAAATAACATACATTAGGCAAGCTTGTAGATTTGAAAACTATTTTGTCTGAAGTAGGTAAATCAAAAGCCATTCTTGTATAGTTTAAAACCTGTTTTGCCCAAGGTCATATTACTATTTATATGTTTCTTTCGCTCTTCTATTAAGTCAATAACTCCAATTTTTAAAGATTTCAAAGTACATTATTGTTGGTTCTGCGCACTAGGTTTTTGATCCACTTGCAATTGTAGATGAAGTAGTAGTTAGGTTAAGGTTCCTATTAACTCTGTTATACGCTGTGTATTTTTGGCAAGCTGGCTATTGGAGTTCGTACTTTGCAGTAGCATTCCCCAGCTTTCTATTCTCCGCAATGCAAGTTTTTATGTTTCATGATAGATGAGTACAGTTGCGCTGCTAGTTTGTTTGATGGTTCGTACATCTAGTCCCCGGGGCTTTAGCACATTTGGTGTAATTTGCGGGCAGAATGCTCTTCTTCGGCTTATATATTGTTGTCAAATATCGTAGCTTCTTCCCCATGCTCGCTCATTTAGCTCCTTATCAAGAGATGGTTTCAGAGGGCATTTAATACATGTGTACTTCAAACACCTGTTCAGATTGTTATATGCAGCCTGTTTAGGATTTCTCTTAATCTCTGATAGTTCCTTACAGGTTTAGTCTTTGAAATTTGTCAGTTGCGTTTATGAATGCTAAGCCCTTGTTTATCCTTGTTTCATTGGATGAGCCTAGATTTTCACCAGCTGTTTAAATTCCGTAATGTCTTTCCGTATTCTTCGTAGTTCGTGTTTTCTGTTTGTTGAAACTTATTTCTTCACGGGTGTTGTAATATTCACTTTACCAATTTCAATTTGGCATGGATATGATACAAAATGACCTGGTATCCGTATCTAAGCCGAGGATCAAAACGTATTGATCTATAATTTCTTACAAATTCAAAGGGGTTGAGCTTGGGTTGATTAATTGTCGAATCAGAGGTTGATGGTCCGACTGTATTTCACTGAAATTTTATTTCATTTGTAAATAAATTTGAAAAATAATGGATGAACGTATCTTTGTATTTATTGAACTCTAAATTGATATTTTTGTTTCACGAAAGAATGTATAGAACGTTGTAAATTAAAAGCATGTGTTACACTACTTTGTTTGCACTAGAGTTGTTTTGCTAATTAGATTGGCCATGTGAAGTGGGATTTGATTACTAGCTAATATTTTAATATGATTATTATTTGAACATTTGTAAGTGTACCGTTTAGGCCATTTTGATATAACTGCGATTGTATAAAATACTCGATGCAACTATCAGTCTTGTACTAAACGCCCTAATCTTACGAAAACAAGGATAGCTTAGGGGTTAACATTCTCTGATACTATTATAAATAATCCTTCTACGCCTCACTAAAGAAGTTATTTAAGAATCTGTTGACACTTTCTTCAAAACTTTAAATAGTTGTATAATGAAATGCATAACTTATATTCTACTCATCGTTTTCTTAACTTGCTGTGAAAATTCATTGCTAGTTTCATTTTTGCGTTGTATAATGGGTGATTTTATCATTTTTTTAAGGGGAGGAAATTTAACGTCTATTCGCAAGCATTTAATTCCTTTTGTTTTGGTATGCATCTTTTATGCCAATAAAAAAGATGGGAATAAAAATAACAAATAAAATCTTATTCCTAATAGAGATCCTCTTGTTTTTTCTTTTTTTTCAGAATTTTTACCTTACATTAAACTAAAAAAGAAAGAATAAAAAAAGAAAAGAAATTTTTGATTGCATCAGAAATCTAAATTTTAAATTTGATATAAATAAAAGATTTTTCTAATTGATTTGATATTGTTATTTATGATATTATATAATTTAATATTATTAAAACTTCTTTATGAGATTAAATTTTGAATTTTTTATTGAAAATTAAAAAAAAATAAAACATAAAGATTATAGAAGTAAATATTCTCGCATTTATTGCATTGTTCATTTTATTTCTTATTGTCTTTTTACTTATAGTTTACGTCAAAAGTTTTCTATATTAAGTGAATATAAAGTGGGATTGAACAAACTAGAAATTAATTTTTCAATTTATTTCTTAGGTCGGAAACTATAAGGTATTAAAAGCTCAAAACTAATATCAATTGGTGGTTTGTGTTTACCACTAGTGTGAGAGTTTTGTACATGGCGAGCTTCGAATACCGGACTTTCTAATAAATAGATGAACCACACACATGTGAGTGCAATAGACCTTATTCATATGAGTTATTAAATTTTCCATTTGTCAAACTTATTTTCCCAATTTTTTATTTGAATTATTTTGGTATACTTTCTTGGAGTGACATTTTTAGATTTATTTTATGATCAAGAGCATATTCTTAGATATTATATTTTTTTGGAATGATATTTATTTCAATAGATTTCAATATTCTAATATTTTTTAAAATATAAAAGAGAAATTGAGTTAAAAGTCAATATAAAAAATAGGTTTTTGTATTTCTTTAAAAGTGTAATATATTTCTTACCATGGGAACAAAAATAAAACAAAAGCCAATACTCGTGTATATATATATATATATATATATATATATATTTTATTTTATTTTTTATTGCTCAATTATTAAATTTACGTTTGTGATTTTGTATCTCAACTTTGTTTTTTCAAAGTAGGGAAAGGCACGTTTGGTTTCAATGGTCAGCTATCCAAGACGTATGTATTTTTTCTGTTAATCTTATGATTGAAGTGCATTTAAGCTAATTAAATGTCGATTGACCCGCAAACTAACCATATTAATCATGTGCATTTTACTTTTAACATTGGCGAGGTTTTTCTAAAGAATATTATTTTTCTTTTTCTTTTTAATTTTGAATTCACTAATTTCCAATTAATTTCAAAGAAAAAACAGTTAATCTATTGTAATAACACCAACGCATTTTTTTCATCATATTTAAATCCGGACCATTTTAAAATTCCAAAATCCCAGTTCTCCTTAACCGCCACTTCCCTCCCCAGACCCCGCGCGCAATGTCACACTCCGTACAAAAACAGCTTTCCTTCCTTCGCTCCCTTATCCAAGCCAGAAGGTTCTTCTTCTTCTTCTTCTTCTTCTTCTCTCTCTCTTGCTAACTCCTCAATTTCAATTCTCGCAGTTTCGGCAACACCACGCTCCGATTTGTCGAATCGCTTTTGGTCTCTAAGGACGTCAAATCTTTGGTCGAAGTTCGGTCCAGCTTGACGCAACTCCTCAGATCTAATTATCTCTCCGTCATTCGATCCGTCGTTAAAAAAACCATCCACGACAAGCTTCTCGCTCTCGATTTCTTTGTCCGCGCTTTCGCTCTCGTAGGAGATATACAGGTACTTCAACTTCTGCTCAGTTTCCCAATGCTCTACTCAGAAGACGTTTCCTCTTTTCATTTCTTGTGCATTTCATTTGCTTTCACTTGTCATAAAATTTTCAAAATCTTAAAGAAAATATATATACTCAGCAACAATGTGCTGAATGCTAATTCAATATCTATATAACGCGACTGTTATTGTTATTATTTTTGCTGTTATCGTTATTGTTATCTCTTTTTGCTTTTGGAATTCCATTTGTGAAGAGTTGTTTGGCATTGAGATACGAGGCTTTAGTTATGAGGGAAGTCAAGTCTGCTAGTTGTCAATGGCTACGAGTTTCGCCTGTGGAATGGTTACATTTTGTGGAGGACGCGATGCACAACGGTTTTCACGCAGTGGGTGTAAAGGTACGTGTTATACACGCGTGTTATATGTGCAATTGTATACTATAATCAGTAATTTGAGACCTAGCTAATGCTTTTGTTAGAACGGATTTAGAATACTTTTAAATCCATGATTACAAAATTGTATTGTAAGATAAAACAATTGATCCATTTTTGGGAGTTTAATGTGTAAACGTTGGGCTTTCAAATCTCGCATGATGATTAGATGTAGGTTTCAGTCACCATTTTTTTCGGTGTTTAGGTTTGAAATTTAAGTTTGCTTATTGTTGTGTGCTTGATTAATTAGTCTTTGGCGATTAGGCATGTGAAAATGCATTGTCGTGCCTTGGGAATAATGATGATTTAGAGCCCGGAAGAGACACGGATTCTGAAAATTCGAAGGCTATTATCAGGGAGATTAAAAGGCTCAGGAACAATGCAATGGCATCAGTTGCTTCACGATCTGGTATCTCATTCATTAATTTCTGTTAAGATTCTTGTCATTAATGTTCTTCTGAATTAGTTAATCTTGCAAGCAGGTTTCGACTCAGAATGTCAGCAGCAACTTGTTTGGTCCTATTGTTGTCTTAAACTGTCTCTTTGACTTTTACTTTAGATTTTTGTGGCAACAAGGAGCCCAAATTCTGTAAAATTGTGCAGTTTAAGCTATTCTCTGGTGTCGTATTTGGTTAGGTCTTCAAATGCATCTTTTTGCCCGAGATTTGCTTTGTGATAGGAATGAGTTTATAGGTTCCCGCTTGTACATAACTGATAACCAACTTATGAGTGTTTTCTTGTTTTGTAGGATATCTTATATTTTTCCCAAATTTCTCCCTTTTACTCATCATTTAGTTATAATGTTGTAAGTATGCTAAACGTTGTATTTTGAAGCAAGTTTCCTTTACTTTTCATTTTTGATTTCTCTGATGCTTGTTGTGAAAAGCCACGTAATCTAAATCATACACTTCTTCGGATGGGTATATTACTATATTGGGATATTGTAATGACTGGTCGCACAGACATTGATATTTAATTAAAGTAGATTTTCATATACTTTACAGAAATGGATTTTTGCTTTATGAGTAGTCATATGATCACTGCTAAAGCTGTTTTATCATATCAGTTCAGGTGCAGGCAGCAGAGTATCTAAAAAGGAAAACAACAGAGCGGCAAAAATCTGACTTTCTCTGCAAAGAAAAACGATGTCTAGCAAGCACTTCTTTCAGAAATGGGATTAAGAGACAGAATATACGGAAGTTACAAGAACACCAAAGTCTCCCACAGATCTGCGGTGAATTAGATGGACCGCATCTAAATTTGAGGTCAAATGATCAATTTCTGATTATGACTTCTTTTCGGTGACCCAATTCATTGTTTAAGCATGTGAAGTTTATAAATTCCAGTCTATCTTTCCATCTGTGTGTTAAACCTTGATTAGTATCTGGTGTTTTTAGACGTTGAAAGAGCAAGTTGTTTACACCATATAATATTTCACAAGTTAATAAAACAGTACTATTTGATTATACCGTTTGTGGACAGTTATTTAATTGCAAATCTGAGCTTCTCTTATAAAAACTAACATATTTTTCTGTGATCAGTTGAAGCCGATAGAGCAGACTGCAAGCTTCTCTTCAAGGTTTGTGATCGATAGTTGTAATTGTTGGTTGATTATTTCATACGCTATCCGCACCTTAGCATATGAAATTATGGTGTCAGTTTCTTCTGATAACCACCCTCGTAATATGCGAGTAATCATGTGAAATTACCTAGGATTAAGTGGAGACTCGGGTATATGCCTTTATCTTTTTTGTCCAACTCTTTACGTCTAAGCAGCGCTAAAAATTCATCAAGAGCTTATGATTTTAGGTGTTGAGAGAAAATATAAGTCGAGAATAGAATAAAATATTGTTGCTTCAACTGTACATAATGGAATTAAAATCACAGGTGATGCTACCTGTACTTCCTTCGATTTGATTTTGTGACCACGTTTTCCCCCCCTTCCTTATACATTTATTATTTAGTTTTTTATTTTAAACCTTTCTTCAAACAAGTTTTCATAAATTATTTTTTGTTACAAAGTCAATGGGTAATTTTATTTAATATTTTCAGATATCACCAAATTTTCATTTAATCGCTTATTTTATAGAAAATAAATGAAAAGTTTATGAGAACTAAATATGAAACTCAAAATATTTAAAATGGCTAAACAATAATAATAATAATAATTAAAAGGATAAAGCAAGAAATAAAAATTGAAAATGATTATTTAATAAAATTTATATTATAAAAGATTCTTTTTAAAAAAAATATTTTTTTTTTAAAATCCAAAAACTTAATTAAGCTGATAACCCTCAAGTTCCTCACGAGAACTGCTTCACCGTATAGCTGTGCTGATCTAAAGATTCAAATTTATACAATTTATAATATTCTTCATATGTCCAACTATTCTCTACTGTTTTTTGGTAAAAATATTTTTAACTATTTTCTACTGTTATTTTCACACAAGTAGGTGATCCACATTTTATGTACCGATTTTCATAATAAAATTCTTTCGTAACTGTTCATTCTTATTTATAAATCTGAGTCTCTTATTTGCAACTGGCTCTTCTTGCACTAAGTATCTCTTTATTATTTATTTATAATTTTGTATTTTAAAATATTATTACTTAAATTTAGTTAATTTTAATTTAAATTATAAATCTGGAGCTCTTACCTTCTGATAAAATAAATTTCAAGTGTTATTCTCTGTTTTTATTTAAACGTGATTTCTATTGTATTATGTATTTTTTTTTATTCGTTTAAATGTTAGTACTTAAATATAATTAACTTTAACTCAAATTTAAATTAAGTCTTAAATTTTAAATCTTTAGATGCTGTGTCAAGAAAAAAAAATATTAATGCATTTTCGTTATAATTTCTATTACATATTGTTTTCATTTCATATTATTTGTTTTTAAACACATATTACTTATACAAATAACTATTACATACATATAAAAAATAAAAATCACCCACACATTTATAAATTTAAAATGAGAGAAAATTATCTGAGATATAAATGGAGGGTTAATTTTCACAATATACTATTGAGGACGGAAGTCTCATCAATCATGGTGAATTGAGCACATCGAGATCGAATTTTCGTAATGGCAAATGATTACATAAATTTAAAATATAGTCTTACATAAGTTTAAATTTGATGCGGTGTACACGAAGTTTTATATCTATGAATAAACAGAAACTATCACATATTCTAATTGATTATGTCAAAAATCTTACAAGACATAAATATATATTTGTTATGTCAAAAATTGATTCAGAAATGCATCTATATTTATGATGATTTTGATTTCAATTATAATTATGTTTATTAATTATTTTAAATTACAGGTAAATAGGTATGAATTTCTTTTGAAAATAATTATTTTCTTATTGGCTATGTATTTTGTTGCGTTTGAATATTTTGACAAAACAATTACTTATGTAAATAATTTATTAAATTTTTAAAGTAATTTTAATTTCGTATAAGCTTTTTCTGTTCCATAATTTTTATCTTAATTTGATTTATCAGGGAGAAAATCAAGAGCTGAATCATTCATAATAATTGAACTGTCTATAAAATAAAATTACCGTATACAACTTAAATGTTTAGTATACTCTTTTTAAGCTTTCACTCGTTTTGCGCATGTTGCTTGGGAGAAAGGAAAAACAAAATGAGGATGCCCTGCGGGCAACAGATCATGATCATGTGCTTTGTCATTATTAATATTCTAACATATGCTTTGTGTAGAGTTGGTCATATCAAACATGCAAGCATGTTGAAAATTGATGATCACATTGGGGATTGAACTTCATCTGCTCAAGTGATCAGATCAGTTTGCTACCCAGTCCCACAGTTAGCAAAATTTCTGTCTTGCTTCATTTGTCAAACTGTACTTCCGAACAAGGATAGATTTAGAAGAGTGGATAAAAACAATCATTAAATTGCTTTTTAGTGCTTCATATTTGAAACTTAGAAAAGTTAAATTTTATTTTATAAATATTTAATACATGTTTTCTAAAAGAATAAAAGAATATATTAAAACTCTAATAATTAAGTATCAGAATCATTCGTCTCACTTCTTAGAGTCAATTTTTATAATCTAAATGAAAATGAACTTTTCTAAAATCAATTAAGGTCAATTTTTCCAGCCAACCTAGCTATATTTCATTGACACTTCCCTTGTTCTAGATTTTGAAGTCCACGCTTGTGTCAAGAATCAAATCTTCCATATCACCAAGGCAAGGGGAGGGCCATTCATTTCTCCGCGTTGGAGCTTGCATGTCATATTTTACTACAAGAATAGTGAAAGATGTTTGTTTTTCCTCTGTTCGTTAATAGCATTAACTTATATATATAATATATACCCCCAATTAATTAAAAAAATATTTTTTATATTAAAATTTATTAAAAATTAAAATTTAAGTACTTTATTATTTTTTATTTTTAAATTAATATCTTAAAAGCATTGATCAGTATTTCTCTAAAAGATTATGAAACTCATTTTTCATTACATATATGGTTTTAACTTTATTTTGTTTTTACAACTTTCAAGAATTTACCTGTTCGAGACTTGAAAGTTGAAAAGTAGTGTTAAGTGAGGGATTAATGAACCACTAAGAATTCAATACACTGGCCCCATCATGTCCATTATTCACCAAATATATAAATTATAATTGAGGGTGTCTCTCCAAAGAGGAAAACATAAACTTGACCTATAAGAAAAGGTCATATGCAAAGATATATAAACATTGAATGAAACGAAGTAAATTAAAATTTCCTCCTCAGAATACAAGATTTGAATATATATGGGAATCATGTGGAAAGCATTTAATGCAAAGAGATGGAATAGGTCTTAGGGTTTCACATGTCGGGTATAAATTTAATTTCCACACACATTTTAACAATGTTAATATATATATATATATATATATATATATATATTTATCTCTCTTTCTATTATATTTATTACTTTTCCATCTATCTCTTCTTCTTCTTTTTTCTATATATCTTTAGGTATATGCACGAAGAGGTAGCCACTAAACATTTTCCTTCAATTTCGACCTCTCTAGAAATGGGTTTTCCGGTTTTAAAGTCCACAAGACCTCTTAGTCTTATGTCGGATCGATGCCATTAATATGAGAGTAATGCAACATGGCCACGCATGGTTTGCAACGATTATGCAGCTATTAATTCGGTTGCTGCTATTGAGAATATACATATACAACTCATCCCCCCTTTTTTTTTCTATTGAACCAAAGGTTTGTTTTAAAAGTAGTAATCATGATGGAGTTAGGACCATTCATAATGTAATATAATTAGTTTTTTTTAGTGAAAACATTTTTCATACACAAAACTTGAACTTAATATTTTCTCCACTAAAATTAAAATTACTATTAATTACTTCTTAGTGTTAATTAATGATAACTATCAATAAACATCGTATATTGGTAAGTTGCCCCAACCTCTTTTTATACGAAATCATTTATTTGGTAAATTATATATATATATATATATATATATATATATATTACCGAAAATATATATTTTTTAAAATTAAACCCCAACATAATAACAAAGTCCAAGAGCGTTTTCATACGATTGCAAATTTTGTTAATAAAAGTATATATGCTTACGACGAATACTTTACGTGGAACTCAAAATACAAATTATAAACAATAATTACATCATAACATCAAGTCTATAGTCAAATAACTTAAGTTTATACTAAAATCTAGACTAATGAAAACTAAGTTACAGATCTCAAAAACCTTCAACCAGGACCACTCCTTAGCCAGACTCTCCAACGTGGAAAGTTGACACTCCACCTGTTATTTTTGCTCACGTACTACCGTATGATCATTGCAACACATACACGACAACACAACAAGTGCAAAGGTGGGCTTAAATAAATAAGAATCATAACTATAAAGTATGAAAATATTAAAATTGTTTGTACAACTTATATATTTCACAGCAATCAGCACAACGGTCTCAATCAATTGATGTAGCATGTTTAGCCCGTCTAATACAAATGCAATGATTCAGTTACAGCTGGTTTCACAACCTAAATAACCCAGAGGAACTATTTTTCGGTCTAGGAGTAACTCATCCCAGTATCTAGATCCAAACAAATACAACTCAACGTCTTGCGATTACATGTCTAACCACCTAAATACGTAACTTGACTTTGGAATGATGAAAATCAATATGATGCAGCACAACTATATTTACATATTATCAGCCTCAACAATACAGTCATATGTATATATATACATATACACCCAGTCTCAGCAATACAACTTTATGTATTTATACAATCAAATTAAGCAGCTCACAACATTAATTAAATATTTCAGCATATATTAACATCGTCGGCACATATATCACGACATTCCAGCACATCGTATTTCACCACGACATTTCAAACATTCATCAGACAACAAAGAAATCTACTCGACTATACATGTTCTTGGTTCTAACCTAAGATTGCTTATATAGCTCACTATTCTCAGCTAGAACAAAACTATTTATATAAATATCTCGGTCTCTACTAAATGAATTAGGTTAACTCAAGTAAGTTTACCTTACACACATTAGGCATTATTACATTCATCAACAATGGTCAACCCACTCAGCCATGCGTAATTTGGGTTCTATCCTAAGGTTTGTTCATGCATCAACTCACTCTTAGCCGAAATAAGATCCACATATGGTATTTTTGCAGTTAAAGAACAATAAAGACCATCTAAGATAAACTTCCCTTACTTGAAATGAGTTTCTAGGATTATGCTTCTTTTGAGTCCCAAAAAGATAGATCCAACGTTTGGATATGGAGTACGGCTCGAACAGTTCAGATCTACTCAAAATAATATGGTATAAAACTCTTGAGAAAGAGAAAGGAAGAAACAAGAGTAAAGGTAGAGGACTAAGCCCTGGAAAATCACCTAGATCTTGATAAGATAAATGTTCTCACTTAGATCGGGAAGAAATTTAGCTTCGAGAAGGTTTTTCCTAAGGAAAAGAGGTAAGAGAACAGAGAGAAAATGAAAGAGGAAGGCTATCTGGTGAGAAATGAGTGTTTCTCTACATTGGAGTTCCTTAAATACCCTTCCAAGCCCGCACGCTCTCGCTAGAGCGAACCCTATCCTCACCTGAGCAAGCTCATCCTCGCTTAAGCAAGTAAACTAGACAATAGAACCTTTCTGTTATTTGTCATTTTCTCTACTGTGAGAATTTTTCGCTCTAGCGAGAATGTTAGTTGGGTTAACTTTATCCACTTCTTGCTACAATGAAATTCTCTCGCTGCAGCGAGAAGGCTTCAAAGAGCTTCACTCTGGATGACTTGTTCTCGCTACAGCATGAGGATATCTCGCTATCCTCCAGTTTTATATCAACCCAAAATTCACCAAACTCACACAACATGCATCGGCTTTTTACTCAACAACCATATAGTTCATATATACATAAATTCAAGTAATTCTATGCCATAACTAATATACAACAATGCATTCAAAATACAATAACGTCATAATTAATTAGTTACAACATCAATTTTAAAAGTAAATAAGCATGCACACAATGCAGGCTTGAAATAAGTGCTATTTATGGTGGTGTGTAGAACTCAGTTCACAAATTTTGATAATTACGTTTTGTTGGCTTGACCTTTTACTTGATTTACATGTATTTTTGTATGTTGGCACGAGTACTCCTTGTTCTTCCTATTTAGTAAACTTTTTTAGTTTTTACAAAAAGTGTGTATGCGGACAAAAGGATATATTATTGGTAATAAAGTACATGCATTTTCCACTTTTGTTTTCTAATGGTTACAATCAAATGTCACCATGGGTCAAAAGAACATGCATAGTCGGGAATCACCGCTTTAGCTTCAGACTCTGTTTGATTAGTTTTAACTAATCTTTAAAACTATAGGGATTGATTGTTTTGTTAGCAAAGTTTATATGATATAATTATTCTGAGTTTGATTTTTCGAAAAAGCCTCCCAAGATTAGACACTCATCTTTCGTTCTCTTTTTCTTTTTCTGTCTTCAATCCTCACATGCATGCATTTAAGAAACTTTAAATCGCTGTCCATTCGAGTTTGACAATAACATCTCCCCCCCTCCTTCTTATTGAAACGCAAAACTAGTGAGATGATCGAATCAATGTCTCAAGTGTTGATAAGATTTGTATCGGTATAAATCAAAGTCACTCTTTATATACATGAGGGACAGGAGGCACGGAATTTTCTCTCACAGCATATATCTTTGCCTTGCTTGATGTTGAATGTCTTTCTTTGAAAATTTAGAGGGTGAGAAAATGGAAGAATTTGAAAAATGAAAGAGAAAAAGAAAGGAGAGAAGAGGGAATAAGAAAAAAAGTTGACAACAGACCTTTTTAATTTGGAAGGATTTAAAAATTTAAAATATTTATAAAAACACTATATTTAAAAATTCTTAAATAATAGTTATCATCAAATTAATAAATCTTCTTCTATTGATCTCTTTCTTATTTTCTTAAAATTAAATACAAAACCTTAAAAAAAGGAATTTTCACCCCTCTAAACCTTTTCCTACATATCTTACATCATTCAACAAGGAAGAGTAAGAAAAAAAAAAATAATTACCGACATCTATTTCGCTTTCTTAGCTTGTTGATCTACGCATTTAATCAAGAGGATCTAAGTTATTTTTACTTAACAAAATATTAAATGATTGAAAAGAGAGAGATAAAAAAGAAAGACTTTATATTTTTTTAACACACTTCTTTTAATTTTTTTATTATATCATTTATTACATCTCTCACTTTATCTCTTTTTCTTATTTCTCTTTCTCTTTCATCGAATTTACACTCTACATGCGCTATAAAAAAAAAAAAACATTACTGAAAGAGAAGGGTAAATGTGTGAAAAATAGATTATAAAAGACTTAAGGTTGCATGGGTTTTTCGATGAAAACTGGCTAGTTCTCATGATTCCAATAAATAATTTACGTATTCAACTTACACACGCAAGTAGAGAGAAAGAGAGAGTGAGGAGGGTCTGCATGTGAAAGGCCGAGCCAACAAACATTCACGTTGAAACCCTTCTTTCCAAAGGTGTCTCGCTCCAAATTAAGAATCCGATTAACTTATTACAACGGTCTATAGAAGTGAAATAGTTGTTTATACCATTTACCTAAGATTCACAGCTGTATCAGAACTCTCCATTGGTGTCATGACTTAGTTGCTGAGAGATTAAATGTACAAGTGTCCAATACGTTATGTGTAAATATAAAATAAAAAAGAATATTTTATAAATCATTAGAAGAATATACCTTTAGGTATTCTTTATGACTAAGATATATATAGAATGTGTAAATAAAATAAAATAAAATTATATACAATATCATATGTACTATTAATTGTTAATCATTTAAATAACTAAATTGATATAAAATTGTAGAGTCAAATGTGGACGTAAAAAATACACAACTTCGTGCATTGCCAACCTATATCACGCGCCTTCACGGTGTTTGACCACCGCCTATTAGTTTTATTTATATTTAAACCACAACACTTCATCCCTTACCCTAACTTGCCCTTCATTGTTTGACTTCATTGTTCCCTTATTGCATCATAAATGCCTAAAATATCTTTGGTTAAACTTGTAATTTCCATATGAAGTATATATTATATGAGTTCGACATGGAAGAAGTGGTTTCTAACTATCTTATTAGTACATCAACACAATATTTATTATTAATTATCAATTCATACTTCACAAGAAGGACATGTGCACCAAGCTATTCTACATTAGGCAAGCAACTTTAAATCTCACCTGCCATTATAAATAAGAAATTTTGAGGCTCATTCTCTTAAACCCTTTGCTTGATTGTGTTCCTGCTTAATTTTCTCCCTCTTCATTTTACACACCAAAACAAAACAGAAGTATATAATCTTTGTTTCATTTGGGCTTGTCAATACTCAATTAATCTTTCAAATGGGGGGTACCTCACCTTGTGCTTCTTGCAAGTTGTTGAGACGCCGTTGCACCAAGGAATGCATCTTTGCTCCTTACTTTCCTTCCGATGACCCCCGCAAATTTGCCATTGTGCATAAGGTCTTTGGTGCTAGCAATGTCAGCAAAATGCTACAGGTCCCTCTAATTAAGCTCTTCCTTACCCTTCTTTCTCTTTCATCCATATAATTTTCTAGATATATATGTGTGTGTAACGAAAAAAAAATGATTCAAATAACTAATCAACATGTGCGTATAAGATTATGTAAGTTATGTTATGCATTTGTCTTCAAGACTGCAAGTAATTTGGTTTCTTCTAAAAATATACATCTTCAAACAAACTGCTGAGTTGAACCTATAATATGCCATGGATCATAGTGGGTGACTTAAAATTTCTTTGTGCAACCTTTGCAGTTTCAATAATTACTAGCTAGCTAGCTAGTATATATCCTTCTATTAGTCTTGGGAATATCTAACATGACTTATATAATTTACAAACATTTTATTATGAAACAAAAGATTATCATTCAAATGAAGTACAAGGGATACTTTAATCCTCTTACATAATTTTGTTCACCAAGAACCTTCCAAAATAATCTTACTCTTATGTATATATGCAGGAGCTTCCAATTCAACAAAGAGCAGATGCTGTAAGCAGTTTAGTTTACGAGGCAAATGCAAGAGTGAGAGACCCTGTTTATGGATGTGTTGGAGCCATATCATACCTACAAAGCCAGGTTTCACAATTGCAAATGCAGCTTGCAGTGGCTCAGGCAGAGATTTTTTGCATGCAGATGCAGCAACAAGAACCAACCTTAGCCACCCAAATAGACCAAGATCACAAATCATTGCTCTTATCTGAAAACAACAACTACGAAATCCTTCCTTATTATCTTAACTTTCCTTCCTCTTCTTCCTCTTCTTCCAATGTATTCCATGACTCTGAGTCTCTTAAGAGAGAATCTTTTTGGACCTAAAATTTAATTACCAATTTTCAGTGAAGTGAATTTCAAACTGTGTTTTATTTCACACTTATGTTAGTCTAGCTCAGTCAGAATGTGCCTTTTTGTCTTTTTGTGCATTCTTGTTGTCTTAATCAATCGTAGTTGTTCACGTATGCACGTAGAAATTAATGGTGGAAGAAATATTAAAATTATTAATAAATTAAAACGAGGAGAATCGGGATGTACGGGTCAAAGCTTGCATGTGCGATTTATCGTACAGTTGAAGGGTTATCATGACGACTTCCTCTCTATTGCTAGAATTTTCCAAAAATATTTTACGAAGTTATGAGACTTTATTTTATTAGTTATGGAATGTAATCATATGAAAAAAAAGTTAAGACTCAAGAAAAAGGTGTAGTTTTGTATATCATATTGAAATACTTTGGCTATATTGACCAATTAATACTTCGATAAAATCATGGCAATCCTGAGATTGTAATGCCGACACCCTTTGCTTAATCAGCGTCCAGATTAGCATTGATCCCTTAATTATATTTGATATCAATACCCTTAATTGCTATAAATCTGTGGATGACTGAGCAAAGGAGCATTTTCAGTTTTTCACTTTTTAGTCTCTTGGAGTAGGTAAGATAATTATCTTCATTCTAATTTGGTCACTTGGTGCCTTAATTAAGTGAACAGTACCTATTACTAGAACAGGAGTAATTTATATATTATCTAAAAATTATTAACTATTTTTGTAACACCGTCAACATTTAATTTAAATTTTGTATATGCAACTGGCTGGCTCCTAAGCCTATAAAAAAAATTGTACTACGGATCATTTGGATCCTCTGCATCACTGTACCAAGTTTAGTAACAATCTTAATCATTCATTATACATTTATTATTTTTTAAAATAAAAAATTTAATTATTTTAATGGTCATATCCTGGGCAGTGACAATCTTTTCCTTATATTTCTTAGAATCTTTATTTGTCTCATATGAAGTTATGAACCAAGAACCCTGCCACTTTCTTTCTTTCCCATTCCAGAGCTGTACTTTTAATTTTTTAACCTTTGAAGTATGTCCAGTTGAAGTGACAACGACAAGGAAAATTTTTAGAAAGGAGAGAAAGGATGTCATTAATTAATGCCTTCAATTGATTTGCGTTTCTCCATGACCAAAAAGAAATTTGAACGGAGGGAAAGGATGTCATTATTTGACAATGACACTTATCGCCAATTACAACTCAATAAAAGATTGAGACTTAATTAATCAGTGCACATATTAAATAAGATTTTGGACATTTATGGATTCAATTTTCGACCAAAAGAAGTTTCGCACGCTGCAAAAAGGAAACAACTGAGAAGTGGGTAGTAATTGACTAGGAACAGCATAACAAAATTTTCAATTGTGCTTTTTGTTCTTTTTCCTTCTAATGAATTATTGTAGTACAGCTAAACACCACAGAAAACATATATTTTCACCCATTTACAAGCTAAACTCAAACAAATAACTGTTGTACTTATTTCTCCCTTTTTATTCCTAATGCATCTTCTCCATATAGTCCTTCTTGATTGTACTATTATGTATATTTTGAAAGAGTCAACAGCTCTATGTCTCGTATTGATCATCAAAATTATTCCTTTTCATTCAAATGTTGCAAACCAGTGTCCAAGCCAAAACTTAATCAAGATAACGTCAGTTCTGAGGGGCAAAAGCCCTTCTTATCTTTGTACAGGTGATAATTAATGAGAATGTTTTTCATTAGAAAGTGAGAATATTGATTGATTACAGTATCTCTCTTCTTTTTCAAAAAAAAAAAAGTTGGAGAATGGATACAAATTAATTCTAGTTGATAGGAGTTACAAAAAATTGGATGGATAGAATTAAAAGTTGTTAAAATAATGATAACCTATTATAACCGATGAACACATCTTAACCTTAAGCATATTGTCTTCCTCTCATTTGTCTTACGGCTATAAGCAGATATAGTATATCCCGAACTATGTGTGCATCAGAATAAGCAATTAACTTGAGGCTGAAAGATGCACTGCCCATAAAGAATAGTTTGCCCTAGTAAATATAGTTTCCATTTATTCATTAAAACAGACTCTAATATTGCTTTTAAAAAAAGAAAACTTGTTCGCCATCGCCAATTTCAAGTTCATACCTTCTCATTTAGTTTTGTAATAATCACACACCAGCGAAATAAAAAGTTGAACTTTTGCTTCAAAATCTTCGCATGGTACAAACCTAGTAGACCTTTAAGGTTGATGAGTTCCATAAGAACAGGTTCAATCGTTCTAACTCTTTCTACGTAAGACAAATATGTAACGCGAGAAAAGTTCATATACATATATAAAGGATGTTTACTTCTTCATGTGAATCCACTCTGAAAATTTTGTCCAATAAAGAAGGGTCCAGAGCTGATACTTTTCCACATATTAAGGAGTTTGTAATATTGTAAATAAAAAACGATATACATGATTTCGAAAGTAAAATATACGTAAAAGTTAATGTCAAACAATATAACGACAAAACTTGAATATATGTTTTGTTGTCTGTATATTATATCATAGTAATTTATTCTGATTTCACATTGGTGTGATGTGGGACCTTTCCAGGAAAATGATTCATGGCTGAGACCCCATTCCACAACTTTCCATGGGATTTTCCATTGACAGGTACGTACATATATATCCCCCTCTATTTAAAAACAAAAAACCAAAAAGACAAAATAGAATGATGAAACCATCGATACGAGTAGAGAAGGGCGGCGAGTTGGTGAACAAACCTTATACTTTTGAAAAGATAATAAAATTTGAAGACATATACACATACCATTGAAAAAAAAATAAACAGTGTTTATTATTTTAGAATTTAATATTTAAACTTTTGAATGGGTCTAATCAATCTTAAATTTAATATGTAAAACTTATCGTTAAAATAATCAAATGGCCGATATTCCTTTTCATAAGCAACGTGGATTTGTAAAATTGTCTAATAATATGTTAGAAATGGTGTTTTAACCTGTTTTAAAATTATATTAATATAAAAATTATAATGAATAATATTAAAATAAACTTAAATTTATAATTGATGAAAAGTGAATTCAAACACATATTAAACCCTCTCCCCTCTGGGTTAATTCTAAAACGAGAGTTAACTATTCGATTTCTTCCACTGTTCTACAGTAAATTAGAATTTGCCATGGATATTGCATCGCCACCTTTAGTTACGATCACTCAGATCATCTCCTCTTTGCTAGAACAAAGACAAAGAAATCGTTATGTGCGCACAACCGCGTCCAACAATTTAGAACAAATGTACTAAATGAATGATGGACTCAAATTCGTATATAAAGAATGAATCTTTCAAAGACTGCTATCTTTTCTAACCTAGCTAATTAATAATATAACCAAATATTATTATTAATAAAAGACCATTCAGTATTTTCGAACACCAAAGACTATCGTCCGTATAGGATGAACCACCAATTATGGTCAACTAGTAAAGATCAATATAGTAATAATGTTTACATTTTCTTTATTATTTGTGAGTTTTTCCTACAATCGTTAGAGTGTCAAACCATAACCGGAAGAAAATATTGAGTCGAAGATCAAACTAAAAAACGTTAAAAGGAAGGTAATTTTATTTTAAGCTCCTGTTTATAACCCTAAAGGGTATTTTTCCCTTTGAAAAATTTTAACACGAATAAAGATTCGGTTCCCCAAATGTATAAATGTACAACACTTTAAAGGATAATTTATATATATATATATATATATATATATATATATATTATTAAGCTGTTATATTCTTAATAATTATGTTTTAAAACAATTATAACCTTTCATTTTATCTTTTATATATAGTATGTGCACTTTATCAAAGGAATCAAATCCCACTAAGGTGTCGAAATTCATTTACAATATTTTAAAAAATTCCAAGAAAATTACGTTTTTTTAAAAATGAAACCTATAGTGTGAGTGCTTTTTTGAAATTATAAAAGATGTAGACATATTGAAATGACCAAAAATTGAAAGATAATCAATGCTCGTCATTTCTTAAATTGTTTTCGTGGGGTCAATACTCTAGTCGTCAGTTACATTAAGATAACACCTACAAGCACGTTGCAAATGTTCTTTTGGATACATTACTTTACCTAAAGATTAGCTAAGGAAATTATAAAGGTAAATAGAGTGAGAGGGACACACCGAGAACTAGCTTCAAGATATGATGGGCTACCCTGCATTGCTTAGAAGCCCAAAGAAAGAAGAGAAATATATTTCTGATGTTATATACCCGAAATTACCCAATTCCTATGCAAAAGAAGTTGAAGATGAACAAAAATTATCATACAATCGCAAGCTTACTTGGAATTTTGAAGATCATCAAGCAAAAAGAAGTTGATGTGTTTCCGTTTATCATTGTACTTCTTTAGAAATTTAGGTTGATTTTTTATGTTTTAGGTAATTTGTGAGTCCTTATTCTAATTCTTTTTAGTTAATTTTATGGTAATCGTTAGTTTTCAAGAATTTTTAGCTTTGTTGATTGTATAAAAATGACTTCTAATATTTATCTTATTTTAAATCTCTAATTGTAGGAGTTAATGAAGCTTGGATTAAGTTAAGAAGTAAAGAAATTTAAAGTTGAAAACTTAATAAGACTTTAGAAGATAAACAAGTGAACTAGGAAATCAAAATTTCATGTTGTGAACGTAATGTAGATCATGCTAAAGAATATTTTAGATTCAGAACATGTGGTTGAAACAACTTTTAGATTTCACACAAGTCAAACATAAGTAGAATCTAAGTGATATAATATGAGACATTTTTTTACTTTTTTCTGCTTAATACAAATTATTTTTTTAGGTTGTCAAACTTTCTTTTTATGGAGCATTGGACTATAAATCTTGAAGAATCAAACTTTATTTTTTTCAAATTCTACTTAGTTTGTTATTTTTTTTTTCATATATGATATGTAACTAAAATTCTCGTGTTAAGATTAGAATCTTTATAACATTGGTTTCACATATATTAATTTCTTTCTCAACTCAAATCTACATTTTCTTGATTGGAATTAATTTTTTTAATTTTGTTATAATTCAATTTCTTAATTTTTTTAATCTTAATTAAAACGTGAATAGAGTATTAAAAAGAATTATGAATGATAGTTACAAAAAATAAATATAATATAAAATATTTTAAATTTCTTTAATAACATGTTTTTTTTAAAAATTTATATTTGACATAAAAATTTCTAACAATATTTTTTTATTAATTAAATACATGGCTTCTCCATACAATGATAGGTGCCATGTGAGGGTAACTTCCATGAAATTTGGTTGTTGTAGGGTCGCTTAGTGAAGAGACTTGGACAAGGGCTGGTGAAGAAGAGAGAGCCAAATCCCAAAATATCTGTGGATCGTTCTCCTTCATTCCCTTTAATTAATATCTGTGATTTTTTCTTTTCCTATAAATATCATGGAAATAGGAAGGTTATTCTCAAAGGTAAAGGATATTATCCTTATCTTAATCTCTTTTAAAATATAAACATTATTAAAAATGATATAACATGGAAAATTCAACACTACTTAACATACTTGAAAAAACAAATTAACTTAGGTCAAGTCAAGTCTACTAAGGTAATGTATGAGACTTTGGACCTAATCTATTTTCTTACAAAAATATGTAGGCAACTATATATATTTCTTTTAAAATAAACACATGTGTACTCATATTAAAAAGGTTATTTTACATAAAAATATCAAAAAAATTTATATAGGATAAAATTTAACTACAGTTTTTAAATTACTTTTATACTATTTACAATATCTAACAAATTTAATGTAAAATTTTATAATATAAATTATCTAAATAAAATTTTAATTTTAATAAAAATAGAATGAAAATACTTAAAATTTATATATAGACACACTAAATCAAAATTAAATATTACAGTCATATGACTTTTTTGGTTTAATATCAACTATTTAAATTTATTTAATAGTCAATAATACATTCGTTTGTCTTACTTCTATATAAAAATACATTTTTTCATTTGATACAATTTAAAGATAAAAATTAACTATCATAATTTTTCTAGGGATATATTTATACTTATATTTTCAAAGTAATTTATTTTAGCATCTGGAAACTAGTTTTCTTAAAATAATTTTTAAAATATTATTATTAAACACAACATGAAACGTGGCGTAAGGAACGCGCTCCGGGGACCCTTTTGTCTTACTTTTGCAGACCACAACATCGCCTTTCGTTTTCATTGTTAAAACTAGTACGTGTGTACAAATGCTATTGGTGAACTTGATATGCCTAGAATAATATAAAATTCGTGTTATGCATGGAATAATAGTTTATTTATATAAAATAATATTATTAAATATATAAATAAAAATAATTACATATATATTTAATAATGATATAATCGATTTTATAAAAAAAATATTTAATAAATTGTTAGACAATGAAAGAGATTAAAAAAATTAGATAAAATAGTGACACATCGTATTTCAAAAACTAATTAGAATGTGTAATACTTAATTTTAGGTAACGAAATATATTTCAAATGATCTAGCAATATAATTATGAATGAAAATGAAGAGATTTTTTATTATAAATTAGATTAATCTAATAGAAATATAAATTAGTGACAGATAAATCTTACACTTAACAAATGGATCTACTCGCTTATATCATAATGGATGCCTTATTGTGTTGATATAAATTTTAAAAATATGTCAATAATGTATCTACTCACTTATGATTAACTATTTATTTTTTTCAACCAATTATATTTTTCTAGTGATATTTATTTTTTTATTGTTGAACACATATGGATTTATTTTAAAGATCATTAAAAGTGCAACGTGGCGTAAGGAAATCATTCTGGGCCCTTTTATATGTGCAGGTCACTACATCACCTTTTGTTTTCATTGTTAAAATTATTGAACCCTTTTTGTCATTTGATGACACGCTCTACTTTTTCACATGCGAATCACTTTTTTATTTGTTGCCTTTTAAGAGAGCCAAATCGTTCTAATGTATCCAATTATTATTATTATTATTATTATTATTATTATTATCCTTTTCATGAGACTACACTTCAAATAATATTCACCAAGTGTTACTCAATTGAAGATTATTAATCCTTTTCCTACCACAATTTTTTATGTGGTCTGAAAATATACGATTTCGACCCTTCATATAATAACATACATGTATTTTATTTTATAATTTGTCAATTTTTAATACATAAATTAAATAACTGAGACTAAGTACTCTTAGAACGCTTAATTTATAGTTGTTTTGGTACAGAAGAGCGAAAAATAACCATCTCCAATTGCGGTACGGATTAGTATAAATAAATAAATAAATAAAGACAATTTCTTTTTAGTCCCGAAATATATATATATAAAATTTATAAAATAAACATGTTTTTCTCCCTCTTCTTCAACTATTCAATAATTAGAGGATGCAAGGGCCGGTCCTCAATTTTTTTTTAAAGCATAATATGTAAATTTTCATCTGTATAAAAAACGTTAGGTTTATTGTCAATATTTTCGTTTAACTATGTAATTTAAATTTATTTACTTTTAGATTATTTTTATTATTTTCAACACATCTCCTATAAGTATTGTAGAGTGTAATGACTGGCTAACTGTTGAGTTTATTTATTTTATTACAAATTTGTGGTCTTTTGATTATATTACTTTTAACCAAACTGATTTTTTCATATATTAAAATTACACTGATTTTATATTCCACATTTTTTTACCACAGAGCTAATTACTGATTTATCATATTCATTGACCTGTGTAGCTCAGTTCTGAGATTTTAAAGGTACGCAAATATTTTCTTCAGGTAAAATCTACATTTTCATATTTTAACTTTTATTTTTTCATTTTAAATTTGTCTCTATTTTCTTAAGATGATATTTGTATTCCTATATAATCTCACGATGTTTATGCTGATTCGTATATAATAGCAATACCCTTAATCATTTTTGTTTTTTTTTAAATGTTAATGATGTTAAAATAAAAATTAAAAATAAATGCAAATAAAAAATAAAAATAAAATACTTTAACAGTATAAAATTTTTTAATATATTCAAGCATAAATTATTAATATTAAAAAATTAAAATTAAAGTAAAAGTTTATGTTCACACATATTCATTATATTTTATGATATTCTTGATATGACCCCCTAAAATTATCGGTTTTACCTAATTGATCAATAGTGCTCACTACAGTATAATTGTAAGACGTGAAATGAAAGCAACATCACAAGACTAACGAGACAGTGATCGTTCATTGCCCTACCAGTTGAAAGCAACTCGTGATATATGCACTTATGTCCGTTATACCCCCATCGCATAGAAGAATCGAACACGTGTCATAAATTTTCTGATAATATTTTAGTTAAACAAAATAAGTGTTTGACAGAAATTACAGTGAATTTTGTTTTGTACTATTCAAATTTTTCTATATGATATTTATTCTTAATTGAAATTATTAAAACGAACGAAATTATTTCAATTTCATCTTTTATTTACACGAAACTTAATGTATGTTTGAAAAGTTCACACAATTAAGCAAAATAATGTTTTAACCTAAAAGTTATAATTTATATAATTACTTATACGTTAATTCACTTAAAAGAATTTGTTAATATTAAATGTTAAATTAACACATTTATATTATTAAATTTTTTAATAAAATATAAAAAATTTTAATAAGGATATTTTCGCATTATATAAAAATTATTAAGTTACATACTTATATTATAACTTTGTTATGTATCCCCAGCGAGACGTTCTTTATATATAGTAGGAGTCTCACTACCCTTAACAACCATAGCTGAAATAATTACTTCACCAGTTAAAAACAGTGCTGATCAGTGACCACAAAGCTAGCCCATGTCGAAGGTGGTTTGTGTCACCGGAGCCAGCGGCGCCATCGGATCATGGGTGGTCCTCCTCCTCCTCCAGCGTGGCTACACCGTTCATGCCACCGTCCAAGATCTTAGTTAAGCATTATTACTATATAATTAGTTCCTAATTAATCTTTTCTCCCTCACGCCAACACTAATTTATTTCAACCAATTAATATTATATAATATTTCCATGCCATAACAAAAATTCACATGCCCACGTAGTTTTTTTTGGTTTCAATTTAGTGGAATTAGTTAATTAATTAATAATATTGTGATGACACTTGCAGAGGATGAAAAAGAGACGAAGCACTTGGAGGAAATGGAAGGGGCGAAGGGTCATCTGCGTCTTTTTGAGATGGACCTTCTAGACATGGATTCAATAACCGCAGCCGTAAAGGGTTGTTCTGGGGTTATTCACCTTGCATGTCCTAATATTATTGGTCAAGTCAAAGACCCAGAGGTTTAAAAATTAAATATGACATAACACAGTGTATAATATATGGTCCAAAATGTATAATTATTTTAATTAATTATAGAAGGAGATATTGGAACCGGCGATAAAAGGGACGGTGAATGTGCTGAAGGCGGCGAAGGAAGCAGGGGTGGAGAGAGTGGTGGCGACGTCGTCGATCTCCGCCATTATGCCCAGTCCTAACTGGCCAGCTGATAAGATTAAAGGAGAAGATTGTTGGACAGACCTTGAATACTGCAAGCAAAAGGGGGCAAGTGTCTTTTCACTCTTTTTTCTAATGTGTTTTTTACTTTTTTGGTGGGTGTTCTTGATTTGAACTGGTGGTGTTGTGGGGCAGTTGTACTATCCCATGGCAAAGACTCTAGCGGAGAAAGCAGGTTGGGATTTTGCTAAAGAGACTGGTTTCGATGTGGTGATGATAAACCCTGGTACAGCTTTGGGCCCTCTTCTTACTCCGAGAATCAATTCCAGCATGGCCGTGCTTGTTAGTGTTCTCAAAGGTACAATCATCTATCACAAAAAAGAAAGGGTCTATTTTATATTTTAATCTCTTAGAACAAGAGAAACTAACATTAGGCGTTTGGACATTGCTATAGGTGGCAAAGAAACATACGAGGACTTCTTTATGGGAACGGCTCACTTCAAAGATATAGCAATGGCACATATTTTGGTATTGGAGACCAAGAAAGCAACCGGAAGACACCTGTGTGTGGAAGCCATTCGTCACTTTGGTGATATAGTGGCAATGATAGCTGAGTTATACCCTGAATATGATGTGGCTAAGTGAGTATTCTGCAGTATTGCACTATTGATCATAATATTTGTTTGAAAATTTTTAGACAAAAAATAAAAATTTTATAAACCCTTTAAAATTGGAGTATAAGATAGTTGATAAAAAAATAAGTGATTAATTCTTAAAAGTAAATTAAATCAAGCATGAAACAACTACAGGAATATATACATTATCCATGATCTTGAGTGTTAATTATTTAAATATATTTGCTTTTAGGTTGCCAAATGATACCCAACCAGGGTTGTTGAGAGCAAAGGATGCATCAAAGAAGCTGATTGATTTAGGTCTAGAGTTCACTCCTGCTGAACAAATCATTAAGGATGCAGTGGAGAGTTTGAAGAGGCAGGGTTATGTCTAATTTCTATGACTCATCAGGACTACGTGCACTGTTACAAGTGGTGATGGCATCACTATTCTTCTGTCCTTGGTGTGACTCATTATTATTGTTGGTGCTATTTGTGTTTTTTATTTTTTACTTTCACTTTCACTCCTCTGCGTATAATTGGAGTCTAAAATAAGGGTCACTTGTATCGGTCAATGTATCTGTCAACATTTGGCAAGAATTCTTATTTATTATCTCTCGCTGGTATCAAAGATTAATTGAAAGTTTTCATCTTCATGGCTCAAATTGCTTATCAGAAGCATCTCTTATAGTGGAACATTTTGAAAATAGCTTATCAAAATAATTTATAGTTTTTATAAATTCTTTTTAATTTATTTTAATTTTTAATATAACTTCTTAGCTTATTTTAAAATAAATTTGTTATAAATTTTTATGTAAAAAAAAACTTGTTAAATAAAGTGTTTTATTAAATTGTACTTCTAAATGTACCTTCATTATATTTACTAATGTTTTGCGCATATTGTTTCCGCTAATAAAAATTGAAAAGTATCGTTACTGCATTTTCAACATTTAATGAGTTGAGAGAAAAACAAATTAACATTGGAAAAAAATCAGAGATAGAGCAGGGAAAGAGCCAAAATGCATCAAATTCATTACTCAAAACATGATTGAAATGGATCACACACTTGTAGAGAACAAGGGGCACATTGAGTCTAAAGCTACTACACAGTTTTGCATTATATCACATAACAAAATTCCTAGTAACTAATTGATAGGTAACGTTTATATTTATTACTAAATTCAATTCAAATGAAAATTAATTATATTTTTATTTATGAAAAAATGTAATTAAACTACTCAAACCTATAATGTAATAGAATATTTTTATGAGTTAGATCAGTTTGCATCGTATGTCAAGTGCGATTCGTTCCATGGACCCTTTAATAGTTAAGGGATACCCGTTTGATTTATATCATGATCAAAAACTTTATCTCTTACTAAAGATCTAATCCTTTATACCTCTTAACGAACGATTTACGGTATAATATACATTATTGTAATTTGTATAAAAAAAGAATCCTTTTTTTTTTAAAATTGACAAATTGAGTTCTAAAATTATGAAATATAAGTTTTTGGAATTGGATCAATAATCCAAATTTTGTGAGTATGCGTAAAGAATCCATGAAGAAAAATATAGAAAGCTTATTTTTAATTGTAACTAAATTTTTTATTTTTTTTTATTGTAGAGATTGAAACAAAATAACTGTTAAACAATTTTTTTAGTTTACTAGAGACATCAACATATTTTTTTAGCTCGACGGAAATTTTATATTTTTTAAACATTTACATCTAAGATTAATTTATTCAACTTTTGAATCATTTTTGTTGTCTTTTAATCATGTATATTCATTTTAATGTAATTTAAACATTTTTAGATATATTATTTAAAACTTAATATTTACTTATATTTAAAGAACTCATTAAAGTAAAGTAATATAATAAAATATTAGTAATTTTATTATATTTTTATAAAACTAATTTATTTCCGAGAATTTCTACTTTCAACTCAATAATTGAATTAATTAATCTTACATATTATAAAAAAAATAAGTAATGTAAGTATTTAAGTTTAACACATAATTTTAATGAATCTTTTATATATATTTAACACAAGCGGAGAGAAAAACCATAGAAAAAAAACTAGAATAATTTCATACTTTTCTTAGTCTTTATTTCTACAAATTCTTCTAATCATTAAATAAAAAAGTATTTGTTGAAGAATTAGGCTGGATTACATGGCAGGTAGGTCTTTTGTTTTTATAGAAGGTGAATTTTAGCTTGATTCCAATATTGCTTTCTTTATTAGATGATTATATCTTTTTGGCAATTTGTTCGTGACCTCACATAAAGTGAAGAGTTTTATGGATATAAACTTTATTATTTAAAAAGAGAAAATAAAATTTATAATAACAAATACAATTTGTTTTTACTTTTTAAAAATATTTTTAAAATTAAAAAACAAACAAACTCGCATTCTCTTTTTTATTTTTTTAACATATATTGTATGCAATTTAAGTATTTCAATTTTTTTAGTGAATTAAGTATTAAAATTTTAAATTAAAGAAATTTAGTTTTTTGCCAATTTCTTTTTTTTTTATTCAATTTAATCAGAATTCAACTTAGGTAGTGTCTCTAAATATAGTGGTGAATCTGTTACTTAAAATTTTTGTGAATTGAATAGATTAAAATATTTTAAATATTTTTTCTATATAAATTTCACGAAGACACTGAACTGGTGATGTTTTATTTGATTTGATTTAACTTTTTAAACTATATGCAATTTGGCTATAAAGTAGTATGAATTGGGGTTTTTTTATTATTTTTAAAAAATCTGTATTATCAAAGTTTGACTTTTTATCATTTTTAATATTTTTTTTAAAAAGTTACTAGTAAACTTTATAAATTTTAGTTATTTCATTAGTATCTACAGCAAAAATATTTACTTTATACAATTTTTCAATCTTATATTTTTATAATTTTTTTAAAAACACAGTATTTTTTATATATAGTTTTTAATTTTCATATATAAATAAAAAATAATCCATAAATTGGTTATGTTTAAAATTAAATTAAACTTTGAAAGAGATGAATTGACAACAGTGAAATAGAAGGAGATAATATAGAATGAGATATTATTATCATTATTATTTGTTGGTGTTTGAACCACGTGGCTTTGAAATAATTAATTATTTGAAAACTATGTTATAGCTTTCGATTTACCCCATTGCTTTTTCTTGTCTTAGTGGCCATCACTGATTACACCCTTGACTACATAACCTGGCTGTGTTAGTATTGTACATTTCTTGTACCCATGTCAAGCAATAGTGTTGTTTCACTGTTTACTTTTTGTGGGTCAATCTTAATTTCACAATCTTAATCCCATGTCAAACATAATCTTTATTGAGTCTCACAATATTTTTTTTATTTATTATTCACAAACATTTATCTTTATTTTTAGTCCTAAAGCAATAGGAGTTGTACAAATTTGAAAAATGGAAGTTATTGAATTGAAGTGCAAATATTGTAACATTATATAGAACTATGAAAAATCATATAAAGGTTTTTTTTTTTGGGGTATCGTTGCTTGATTACCAAAGCCCACTATGGCTTTACTAGGCCCCAGCCGAATCTTTTTTGTGTTTTTTTCCCCCTAAATTACTGACAACTTCATGATAACATTTGCTTAATACTCTTTTCATTTGGGCCCCAACAACTGAACAAGGTCTCATTTTCCGCTGTCCAAATGATACTGTAATCTTTGAAATTTTATATGCACTCCCTTGAGTTTTTTTTTTCTTTTTTTTTGCCTTTCAAAAATAATTTTTAAAATAATTTATGGAATTTCATTTTAAAAATAAATATACTTTAGATATTTAATTTATACAACTTAAAAATTTTAATTTCTGATTTAATATATTTGTATACTCTAAAATTAAAATTTTCGATTATAAAAAAGGATATGTCAAAAAGACTATATTATTAACACTATAATATTAAAATAAAATTAAAAGATAAGTTGTCTCACTTATCTTTATCATTTTATTAAAATCACACAAAATCTCTAATTGTTTGATAACAATTGTATTAAAAATTACTAAAATTTAACATTTGTTTGAAATATTTATTATTATATATTATTGTTAAATAAAACTTTATTATGATTAATTATTTATACTCAACCGAACCCTAATTGCTGGTGACATTTTCTTCCCGATATTGCAACAAAGGAAGAGAATCCATTTCTGAGGTTGACATCATGGAATGTTTTAATCACATGAATGGGATTGACATGTGGGGTACTGTAACACAGACAAACACATGATATTGTTTACAGGGTATAAGAAGGGTTCTTCGCCACAGAATATCTACTCACTAGGTACACATTGGATATGATCAAGTACTTTTTTTTATTTTTTTTATTTGTAAGTGGCTATTTACTGTGAAAATTTGTAAAATGTAAATAAATAAATTTAAGATTAGTTTGTGGATTGAATTTTAGATTCTTTTTAAGTTTTTTTAGTGTATTATTAAATGTAATATCTAAATTGACATCGTAAGAAAAAGTATTAAAAAAATAGTAAAATAATGATAGAACAAAAATAATATTAAAATAATGAAACAGTGTTGAGCTAAATGTAGCTTTCAGAAAAAGACTGTGCATGAATCAAATTGTAAGAATGTAATTGAATAGTGAATTGAAAATTAATCGTAGAAAAGTAAATTACACGAACGTAAATGTACGATTTTAAGCAAACAACAACAAGGGCGGGCTGCGACTCCTTTGGTAAGGGGGATTTGGTATAGAATTTCAGTACATAAAGTATTTGGACATAAGTGTGTGGTGCAAAAACTTATCATTTGAGAATATAAAGCTTCCTATTATTTATAGATGGAATTGATAATTGCTTATGATCATGTTTTTTCCATAAATATTATTGTTTATGATTATTTTTTCATATCTCTGATCTTTAATTAGTAGTAATTGTAAATAATTACTACTTTGATAGTCGCATTAAATCATGTTTAAGTCTTAAATTTTTTTATTTTTTTAATATATTTTTTCTTTTTTTAGATTTCATCTTATCTTTAAAACTTAGAATAATTTCTTTATCATTTTTTGTTTTGATAAGTTTTAAGAAAATCTATTTAAGAATTTCATGAGCTTAGAATAAACTTCTTTGTCAATTATTTTTTTAAAAAATTTTAGAGAAGAGCAATAAATTTCACTTTGTTGCATAAACTTAAAATAATTTCTCTTATTAATTCTTATTTTAACAAATTTTAGAAAAATTAATAAACTTCATTTTATCTTATATACTTAGAATTTTTTTTCAAATTTTATTTTAATAAAATTTAAAAAAATCAATAAATTGATCTAATTTTGTAGACTTAAAATAATATTTTTATTAATTCTTATTTCTATAAATTTTGAAAATTTTGATAAATTTTGAAAAAAAATATGTAAGGTCATATAGTTCTGTGTACTTAAAATAATTTATTTTATAGATTCTTTTGCAACAAGTTTTAGCTAGTTTCTGAGACTCAACCTGTTTATTAGTACAGTTTACCAGTATATTTTTCATAGCATTTGAAATCTGAAATATCTGAGTGTCTCCCAGAAAACTACATAAGACAGATATCAGTTTCGTGTTGTGTCTTTTCCATTTGGATACATCCATGGAGGTTCAGGTTCCGTCGCTTGCCACTGTCACCACCACAAGGCACGTGTTGGTCGTGCCATACCCATCGCGGGGCCACATCAACCCCATGATGAACTTGTGCAAGTTGCTCGTGTCTCAAAACACAGACATCCTCGTCACCTTCGTTGTCACCGAACAATGGCTTCGCTTAATCGCCACCGAACCCAAACCACACAACATAAGACTCGCTTCTCTCCCCAACATTGGTCCTTCCTCAGACACTTTCGCCAACGTTGTCGAAGCCGTTATGACCAAGATGGAAGCGCCGCTTGAGCTTCTACTCCATCGGCTGAACCCTCCGCCGACAACCATTCTTTGTGATGCTTTTCTCTACTGGGCCATCGCCGTCGGGAACCGGAGGAATATTCCGGTGGCGGCGTTCTGGACAACTACGACATCGGAGTTGTGGGTGCAATATTTCCATGTTTTTCAACAAAACTTGGATGATCATCAAAAGCTGATAGGTGAGGATCACAACCACATTATGTTCAAAATGCATAATCTGCTTCCTCTTAGCAACTGTTTGGTTTTTTTTTTACACAAAATGCTGAAAATATTTTTTTTATAAAAAAAATGTTTTAAAAAATCAAACTCTACTCAAATGTTTAATGATAATAAAAATTAATAAATTAAACTTGCATTAAAATATTTTTTAATTTAATTTAATTTTTAAAGTTAAGTTTAAGACATTAATAATTATAAGATTTTATTAAAAGATATTTAACACACATTTATAAGTTTAACATTTCAAATAAGTAAATTAAAATTTATTACATTTAAATACATTTCAAAAACCTAACAAGTTCTATCCAAATGTTTAATGATAGTAGGTATTAATAAATCAAAACTACTACCTTTTAAAACTATTAGTTTTAAATATTTAAAATAGAGTTTACAACAATAAAATTTTATTAAAAAATTATTACACGTTCATATATATATATATATATATGAATTTAACTTTAAATTAAACAAAAATTTTCAAAGTACTGATTACATAAATAATAAATAATAATTTTTTTAAGGATACATTAACGATTACATGAATGAGTGTATTTTTATATTTTTAATTCTTTTGTAACACTGATTAATATTTTCTTAAAATACTTTAATAATATTTTTAATAAAGTTTTTTTTTGTAACCAATTATAACATTTGTCTCTTTATTCTACTTAATTTGCTTTTCTGTTTGAGATTATAAATATTTAATTAAGTAATGTCCTTTTCACATTATTTTAACAATTTTATTAATTTTAGTCTGTAAAATTTGTTTTAAATATTTTTAAATAGTTAGTAGAAATTAATAATTTCCAATATTTTAACACTTTTTTTTTTTTTTCCTTAACGGATATAATCTAACATTTTTTCAGATCTTGTTTGAAGGTTTTATAAGATTACTCTCATGTGCTATTAATGCATTATTAATCAAAATAATAAATATGTCTTGACTCTCAAGGACTGAGGGATCGAGGTGTTGTAAACTTCACCGAATTATTAAATGAAAAATGTAAACAACACAATGCATGAGCAGTACGTGTCAATTCTTTTCCTACTAAGGAAGTTCGTGTCCACTTAAAAATCTGTGTTGAAAAAGAGTGTGAAAGAAAACAAACAAATAAAAACAAAGATGAGATAAAAATTAGTTTATTATTATTATTATTAAAAAAAAAGGTTGAAGTTTAAGAATAACTTCTTTTTGCTTCGACATATTGTGGAGCTGGAGAAGAATCTAGATTCTCATATCAAATATTTGAAAAAAAAAGTAGCATTGTTATTATTATTATTTAATTAAGTACATGCTTAAAATATAAAATGTAAAGTACATTTCAAGTATATTTTAAAAGTATAAAATATAATTAATTAAAAGTTTTTAAATATTGATAAAATATTTTTTTTTTAAAATAAAAGGACAACAAAAATCAAATACTACTTTAATATTTGACATTTTTTCCCTTTTGCATTAATTATAATTTCTTATATTAAATTTTATACATTTGCAATACTTTTAAATATTTAAATTTTATGAGCAAAATTAACTGATATTAGTTATATTAACTTTTATATTGTTTAATATTAACATCAGCGATCTGGCATTTGTTTCTAAACTGTGAATCTAAAGTTGAAACTTTGGAATATAATTTGTGTTTGAGTATCTTCTTAATCGTTGTCATAACTGAAGAGAAAACATACTTGAAAATGTTTACCAACTTGTAGATTATATTCCTTCAACTTCCTGGATTGATCGAGCGTATATTCCTCTTCTTGATGAGAAAAATCGTCAAATTTTGCAATGGGCTCAGAAATGTTGTGAATGGCTTTCTAAAGCACAGTACCTGTTGTTGCCTTCAATCTATGAGCTCGAATCCCAAGTCACTGACGCCTTAAGAGCAAGGATCTCAATGCCCATTTACACCATTGGTCCAAACATACCTTATTTTAATCTAGGTGAGAAATCATGTTATACTAATGATACTACCCATGATGGAAATTACATAGATTGGCTTGATGGTCAACCCGTAGGTTCTGTTTTGTACATTTCATATGGTAGCTTTCACTCAGTCTCCAGAGCACAAATGGATGAAATTGTTGCTGCTTTGCACAAAAGCAATGTTAGATTCTTGTGGGTAACGCGTGAAGAGACTAATAGACTGAAAGAGATTTGTGGTGACATGGGGTTGGTTGTTGCATGGTGTGACCAATTGAGGGTGCTGTTACATCCTTCTGTGGGGGGTTATTGGACACATTGTGGGTGGAATTCGGTTGTAGAAGGTGTTTATGCTGGTGTTCCTTTTTTGACCTTTCCAATTGCTATGGATCAACCATTGATTAGTAAGCTTATAGTAGAGGATTGGAAGGTTGGGTGGAGGGTGAAGAAGGATGATAAATTGGACACTTTGGTGAGAAGAGATGAGATTGTTGTGTTGTTGAGGAAATTCATGCACTTGGATAGTGATGTAGGAAGAGATATGAGAAAGAGAGCCAAAGAACTTCAAGATATAGCTCAGAAAGCAATTGCAAAGGATGGATCATCTGAAATTAATTTCAGAGCCTTTATGAAGAATATATTAGTGCACAGTGAAGAGTCACATGAATCAAACGGACCTCAAGTTCAAAATGGTGTTGAGAAGCTTAATTGAATTATCCTATGTTGGATTTCTTGTCTTGAATAGTAATTAAATAAAATATAGATTAAGATAGTTTGGTGAGTTTGAGTTCCTTGGACTAGTGTAACATTGAGTGTCTGTTTACTAATGATTACCCTTTTGGCAAAGAACATGAATTTTTATAGTAGTCAAACTGTTTTACTTTGAGTTTGGCCTAAATTTATTAGAAATTTTCAACTCACTTTGATGCTTTGTTGTCTTAAACTACAGAAGAATTAACAACACATTTTTTAATTTATTTTTTTAGTACACTTTTAATTATTAAATAAAGTTTATTAAAAATTGCAGAACTTACATCAATCTCTTTTTTTCTTTTTTTTTTTAATTTAACGTTTTATTGTTGTATTTTTAAAAATTGTGTTCTAGCATTCTTCAAAGGAAAATAAATTAAAATGCAAGGTTAGTTTTTATTAGTTAAAGAATATTCACTATTTTGTTAATAAATATATCTCTGGTCTTTAATGGGTATCCAAGAATGGTATTCGTATATAGTTCTTGTAAAAATTCTCGTACCGTTCAGAATCACTATTCTCTTAATACCGTATGCTCCTCTTAATTATATAAACTATTCCTAATTTCTTATACAGTTACATGAATCGCTGGAGATTAAAATAATGTTAAAAATAATATTGAGTAAAATTTAATAAATTTTAAATAATATGAATACAATTTTAATACATGAATAAATTTAATAAATAGATAAATGAATGACTTAATATATGTAAATTATAATTTTAACCCTCATAACACAACTCGGCAGTGAAATATGTTGGGAGAGTACAATAAAAATGTATTTATTTTTTATTTAATATTTAAGAAAATTAATTAAAAAATTTAAAATTAACATATCTTTTAATTTAACTTATTTTTTAAAAATATTATTTATTTTTACGAACTAAAAAATTCTCCAATATAATCCAAACGAATAATGGTAGCATTCTTTGATGAAACGAAGGAACAGTTATTTAGTTACCTTGTGTTTTATGTAGGCATTTATATTTTTTTGATTTGTTTAAACAAAGATGTTTTCACCCTGTGTTTGTGATTGTGTTAGTGAAGCAGTTGGGGGAGTTTCTTTGGTTTGAAAGCCAAAATTCCAATAACTACCAACGTCTTCTTCTTGTAAGCTCCGCAAAACCCAAACTCAAATCCAAATGCAAATGCAAATGCAAACTCTCATTCACCACTCTCATTCCCATTCCCTATTCCTTCGCAACGCTCCTTCTTCTTCATCTTCGCTCTCCGCCATGTCTTCTTCTCTCGCTCTTCCTTCCACTCTCTTCTTCACCAATGGAACTTCTCCAACCCTCCCTCGATCTAGGGTTTCCATGACCCTCTCCGCTCGATCTCAAACTTCCGTTCACGACGCTCTCTTCGCCGATTACAAAGCCTCCACTTCGTTTCTCTTCCCCGGTCAGGTACATTCTTCGAAACGACGTCGTTTGGAGTTAAGTTGTTTTGAATCTGATCTCGATGTGATGTGATGCGATTGCAGGGTGCTCAAGCTGTTGGAATGGGAAAAGAAGCTCAAAACGTGCCTGCTGCTGCCGTTTTGTTCAAAAAGGCTAATGAGATATTGGGGTATATATATGATAACGATAACGCTTTAATTTTGAAGAATTTTCGTAAGTTTTTAATATTATTATATCCTTTTCTGTGTTTAGGTTTGATCTTCTTGATATATGCATCAATGGACCAAAAGAAAAGTTGGATTCCACCGTTATTAGCCAGGTATACTTCTAGCAACCAAGGCAATTATTATCATTTGGCTTAGGCTATTTTTGAATTGATAGAATAGAGGGAAGTGGAGTAGAATAACGTTAGTTGTCATTATTTAGATTGTTTGAAATATGATGGAATGGAAGGGAAGTGGATAGAATCTATTTTATATCATTTCGACCAATTCCTCTATTTTTCTTCTTATAGGATAGGATTAAACCCGTTTATTGTTTATTATTTTTCCTTACCTTTTCATTTACTTAACAAACAATTGAATGGGAACGTTCCTTCACGCCATCATAAAATATCCGAACAATTGTGCTAGTTTTGTTTCATTCCGCTCATCACTTAGTTTTCATGCGAAAATTGTTCAGTATAGGACAAAAAATAGTTCAGTAAGTGGTAGTGGTATTTTACCCAGTATAAATGAAAGCATGCCAATATTGGTTGTCATTTAAACCCCACAATAAGATGTAATTTATATTTATGTACTAATTATTTAATGTTTAGAATACTCTACCTTAAGTTAGGAATGAATCATTGGACTGCTATTGCTTCTGTCAGAAAGCAAATATATGTTTTATGTGCATAAACAGTATACAAAATAGTATGCTTGAAATTTTCATGCCATTTGTGATTCAATGATTAATCTAATACTGCCACTTCTAAAACTGAAGATCAGTAACATAGCAGTTGCTATGGAGTTGGCTTATGTGCAAAATAACTAGTCAAGGTAATTTCAGTTTAATGATAGGAAGTTGAAAGAAATACTTATGATGGATCACTTCCAAATCAAGTTCAAAAATTGCTTTAACTCTGTGCCTTGAGTTATTATATTTTAGCAAATTAAAAATGTGCAAATGTCAAAAGAATCTTTGCTGTTAACTTCTAAAAGGAAATAGGAGCCCTAGAGCTGTAACTCAAGTGGCACAATGTCACTATGGAACTAATTGATCCTGAGGTCAAATCCCACCTTGGCCACTTTGCCTGCACTTCAGCATTCAATTCCCTCCTCAGAAGGCCTTAAACTTCCTTTGCCTATGTAATCAAAATTCATTCGAAAGAAAAAGGAAAAAAATAAAATAAAATAAAGAAGTAAACAACTATAATAACTAGAAAAATCTTTTGTGATTATGATATTATACCAGTACCAATACAAAATTCTGATCTTCATGAACTTTCTGTTGTTTATAAAGAGTAAAGACTGCCATAGATGCAATGTTTACCATCTGATTCTCTTCTTCTTCAGCCTGCTATTTATGTCACAAGTCTTGCTGCTGTAGAGCTACTTCGTGCACGTGAGGGAGGTCAGCAGATTATTGACACTGTTGAGGTTACTTGTGGTTTAAGCCTGGGAGAATATACTGCTCTGGCATTTGCTGGGGCTTTCAGGTGAGTTGCCAAAAATTACTATTTATTCAATGGCTTTTCGCTTTTCTCTTGTTTTCCTTTTCCCTTTCATTCCCTTAATTTTTTTTTCACACATATCCCCATTTATCAAGAAATCTTCACAAAAATAAAAGAATAATAAGTAATTATGGCATACGTACCCTTTCACTTTTGCCCTGACATTGTCATATAGTTTTGAAATCTTTACTTTTAGGATAGCAATGGCAATAGAGAAACTAATTGGATATTGTGAGTGAATGATTCAACCCTGGGTTTCTCTGAATGTGAAGAATTGACTTAAGGTTTGTTTTTTGCTTTAAATCTCATCAGTACCTTGTAAATGAAATTATGGTTTGTAGCCTATGGGAAAAGTCTCTTTCCACATGAAGTTTAGAACCATTCTTTGTCAGCTTGCAGCATATGGGGAATGAATATTTATCTAACCTCTCTAACTTTGGCACATTTAAGCTGTGTGACCGAAGTGTTCTTTGAGTGGTTTTGCTTGAGGCTCAACTTTCTCTTAATTGACATGACATTGACCCCATATATTTAATTTGACTTTCAAGCTTTGAAGATGGGCTTAAGTTGGTCAAACTGAGGGGTGAGGCTATGCAGGTAAGCAATATCTGGTAGCTGGTTTAGTGGCTTGTCTGACTCACATAACTAGTTTGGATAATAATTTGTATATCGCATGAATAACTTTTGATCTTTTTCTAGGATGCTGCTGATGCTGCTAAAAGTGCTATGGTTAGTGTGATAGGACTGGACTCTGAGAAGGTCCAACAATTGTGTGATGCAGCCAATCAGGAAGTTCCTGAGGCTGAGAAAGTTCAGATTGCCAATTACCTGTGTACAGTAAGGTTCTCTTGTGGATCTACCTTTTTACAAACTTAAGCAAAATTCTGTTTATAGATTTTATAGTGAGTAGCAACGTGTTGTTTTTTGGTAGGGAAACTATGCTGTATCTGGAGGATTAAAAGGAGTAGAAGTGCTGGAGTCCAAGGCAAAGTCTTTCAAGGCTCGAATGACAGTATGAGTTTGCCCCTAATCTTCTCTTTCCCATGCCACCTTTCCTCAAAGAAATAACGCCATTACCTCTCTCTGGCAGGTGCGCCTAGCTGTTGCCGGTGCTTTCCACACTAGTTTTATGGAACCAGCTGTGTCAAGATTGGAAGCAGCATTGGCAACAACAGAAATCAGAACCCCAAGAATACCAGTCATCTCCAATGTGGATGCACAGCCACATGCAGATCCTGACACAATAAAGAAGATCTTGGCACGTCAGGTATGTGGTTTTACTTGTTTCTGTCCAACATGTGTATTTAAATTCGCATCAAATTCACTCAGACGTGAATCTATTTCAACGCCACAAGTTATAGCTTGAAACGCGGTATTGATTGGTTTCCAAACACACTGACACATGAAAGAGAAATAATTACACCTGTGATGCAATTGGCAGGTTACTTCACCTGTTCAATGGGAAACAACTGTGAAGACTCTTCTTAACAGGGGTCTGAAGAAAGGCTATGAATTGGGACCCGGAAAGGTAGTAAATTTAGACAATCGATAAACTACATATTGTGGAACTGCTTTGCAAGTACATCTGCTAATTTGTGTTGTTTTGGTCTCACTTCAGGTTATTGCTGGAATTGTGAAAAGAATGGACAAAGGCGCTGATATTGAAAACATTGGTGCTTAAGAAGGCTGTGGGACCTTGCTCCTTCTTCGGCTTCCAATGAGCAAAAGCAATATTTATTATTTTATTTCATGGGAAAATTTGCGCGGGCTAAATCAAGAGAATGCATTCTCTTGAAGCTTTGTTAGCAAGGAGCAGCTAAAGTCAGATTTGAATCCCAGTTTTGAAGTTAAATTATAATTCACGAATTGACGCTATGAACGAGTTAAATAAGTGTTTGTACTCGGCGATAGAATTTTCAGATTAGAAGAAACAATACTTGCCAAACAATAATTATAATGTTTGTCAATAAGAACATTACGAAATAATTCTCACGTTTCGTCCTTTCGCCACGATTTTGATCATTTTTGGAAAAACAATGAGCGGTATTTCTAATGTAAAAATGCACCAAAACATGATTCAAGCATAAATAATTTAGGTGTAGCAAATTAAGTATTATTTGTGATATTCTCTGACCAGAGTTTTATTCGATAATATTTACTGACCTTTGTGTATTGAGAATTTTATTATACAGTAAAATTTTAATTCCAGGTAAAGAATAACAGCAATTGAACACATCATAGTGCAACTATATTTTGAACAAACAATATTTCATGTATAGTATTAGAGTTAAAAACACTTTCAAACATAAAATTTTACTTACAGAACACTTATTTTAACTAAAATTAAATTAATCTGAAATCAATTTCGCAAATGTTGATCCGAAGACACGTTTGGAAATAGTAACTAACAAGAAAAAATGGGAGAAATTCAGAACTAGAAGGAAACGGAACATCGTTTGAATCCGAGTATCTAATTTTTGCTTTACGTGTTGGATGATTGTCTCAATCTGCGAAGCTGATCAATCCAACGATCTTCGGGAACTTGAGCAACCCATTCGGGAGCCACTCCAGCGAAGGACACGCCGCGCATCGCCTCCATCACTCTCGTCGCGTTCTCCGCCGTCAACGGCGCGTTCCTCCGGTTCTCGTCCTCCCTCATCGCCGTCTCCAATTCCTGTCTTCTCTCTTCTTCTTCTTCTTCCTCCTCTTCCTCCTCATCGCTGCTCTTTTGGTCGTTCAGATCCAGCGACGATATTCCGTTCTCCGCCACATCGTGCACTCCAAACCCGTTCGGAAGCTGCCGGAACTCGACGTCGTCATCTCCCTCCGAGCTGCCTTCGTCGTCCACGGCCGATATCGGCTCGTAGTATTCAGGCGAGCCATCGGAATTCGCATCGGAATCGCTTCCGTTTCCGTTTTCTACGCACCAAAACAACAACGCAATCAATTCACAAAAGCGGTTGAACATTTTTTTCTGCGACAATAAAAAAATGTATACATTAATTTACCTTCGATAAAATCAACGACGCCACCGTTCATTGCTAGGACTTGAGTGAAGAGACAGAGAACAAAGAACAGAATGAAAGAAATACTGAAATTTCTGATTTTCTATTTTTGTATTATTAAATAAAAACAAAAAACTTTACAAAAGAAAACATTTTTTCAAAAATTAAACTTTGCACCAGCCGGGAATCGAACCCGGGTCTGTACCGTGGCAGGGTACTATTCTACCACTAGACCACTAGTGCTTTGTTAGCGAAAACTTGAAGATAGTTTTATGTTTCTTAATATGAATAAATGAGAATGATGATAAACGTCGATTTTGGTGGCAGTGTGTGAAGGAGAGAGGGTGTTGAAGTTGAAGCGGGAAACAATGGCAATTCCCATGTTGAGGGTTGCAGTGATTTCTCATTCTCAGTCTCAACCACTCATTCATTCCATATCTGTTATTGATGAAACCGCTAGGAGGAGGAAGAGGGTGGCACTCTCTTCTTCTTCAGAACTTAACCCTGTAATTCGGTGAGCTACTCTTCATTTTCCTAGTTTACCCACTTTTTTGAGCTAGAACATTCTTAAACATGTGTTTTGGTTTGATTTCTGTTGCTGGGGTTGTAGGTCGGAGGTATCATTATGTGTTGGGACTTGCCTCATTCCACATCCAAACAAGGTAGCACCCAGTCTCATCCTTTGTTCTGTATGAGTAGTAGCATCATTGTAGACACAATACATGTCCTGTTTCCTGAGTTCTGGTGTTTCTAAAGGTTGACAGAGGTGGGGAAGATGCTTTCTTTCTGAGCGACTATAATGGGGGAGTTATTGCTGTTGCTGATGGTGTCTCTGGGTATGGTAACGTTTCAGTATCTGGTTCTTTCCTTGTGGATTACTTTAATCATTCAGCAAATAAAAAACAACACCCCAAAAAAAAATAATTAATTTTGATAATTAGAAATTAATTTGAAAGGTGCTGTGTGTTGCAGTTGCATCATATTGAGATATTGTCTTCAATAACATGGCATAACCTATGACTTTTGTTAGAACGTCTAAGGCAAATGCTAACGGGTGGTCGGTTTCTCCACTGCTCTTAGGCCATTAGTTAAAGAACTAGAAGTAGAAAGGTTTTTAATAGAAAACGCTATTAATGCACTTGCCTAATGATTTCTGATACAATTCTGACGTAATTTTCAATAAAAATTTCTCACTTTGGATTCTTTAAAGAATGCCTTAGGGCACTAGTGAGTAATACTCATTGTCTAAACACGATTTTCGGTTTTTCAGTTGGGCTGAAGAGGACGTGGATCCTTCCTTGTTTCCACGTGAATTGATGGATAATGCTTCAAATTATGTAGAAGATGAGGAGGTAGCATACCCTTAAAATTTTCAGATGAGGGATGTTTTGATAAGTTAGAATTGTTTTCTTTTCATTTTGAGCAGCAAATCAACAAGAATGCTTCTATGCATGTAATGCTGTTTGCTAACAAACAAATTGAATATTGTTGGATTTAGCAGGTGAACTATGATCCTCAGATTCTTATAAGAAAAGCACATGCTGCTACTTCCTCTACAGGCTCAGCTACTGTGTAAGTTTGTCTTCTTTTATTTGGATTGCTGGTTTGAAGAAATACGGTCAAACGTTGACCTGCTTGTTTGATGATTCTATTGCAAATCACATCATTTGTGTGTCTTGTCTTTGAAGCATTGTTGCTATGCTGGAGAAGAATGGGACTCTGAAGATTGCCAATGTCGGGGATTGTGGATTAAGAGTCATTCGTAATGGTAATATCTTGTGCTACATTTCATCTGATCCTGATCTTTTCTAAACGATGTAATGCAATTTGCTCAATATATATCTAATGCAATTTGATCTTTTTTACCAGGTCATGTAATTTTTTCCACTTCTCCACAAGAACATTACTTTGACTGTCCATTCCAACTAAGCTCTGAGAGGGTTGGGCAAACATACCTTGATGCAACGGTACCATTTAACAATCATTGCTACTATTGTTTAACTTTCTATTCCCCTTCCACTCCACTATCTATCTTGACTCTTCAAACTAAGCAGAATTTCTATTTTCTTAAAATCATGTTGTCACATGTCAAAGTGTTATCAGTCAACGTCACACCTATGCTTCTTTCTGTTCCAAAACTCGCCACTCTTTTTTTATTGAAGACATCATAACCACCACCCACATCCAAAATAATCAAGCCCCACAAATAAAAACTAATACGAAGATTGATGATTCCATAGAAAGACATTGTGGTCCCTTGTGGAATAAATGGAAAGTAAATAATATTGTCTGGAATAAATGGAAAATTGCTAATTTCCTCGTTCAAAAATATAAAATTCATAACAAGATAACTGGATGAGGAGAGAGAGTGGGGAGGGGGAAGAAGCAGACAAAGCAATCACATAATCTTATTGCTCAAATGAAGACAAATAACTAAAGAAAGAATATAGATACCTCCTAGAATAATCTGGTGCTACAGTACTATATTTGTATTGTTATATACTTTGCTTTTTGCTCACATGTTAGTTAGACTATTGGTTTTTGAGGGCACAGAACCACTTCTATTTTTCTCCATATTGATGTATTAATTCTCTCTAAAATCTCTTCTGGATTTGTGCTTTAAGTATCATTTTAAAAATCACGGTTGGTTTTTGTTGAAGGGAAATATATGTAAGAAAATCCCCTATGGCTGATTTTAAATAACCAAAAGTAGTATGATTTTATTGGGAAAATAGCTATGTATTACAACTTTTGGATGCTTAAAATCAGTTCTAAGACTAACGTTAACAAAATCAGTATATGTATTACCTTGATTAAGTCAAAACATAATACACTACTTTCCAAAGGGAATAGTCTCATTTTCCAGTTGCGATAAATGTATTCTTCTGTTATATTTTCTTTTACTAACCACCGCAGGAAAACAGGTATGCAATGTGGAGTTGATAGAAGGAGACACAATTGTGATGGGATCTGATGGGCTTTTTGATAATGTTTTCGATCATGAAATTATTCCCACAATTGTTAGATACAAAGATGTTGCTGAAGCCGGTATTGTCTTCTTGATTAATCAGTTTGAGGAATTTTGATTACCATATGAATTTCACTAATTCAAAATTCATTCTGTTGTACTTGCTAGCAAAGGCATTAGCTAACTTGGCAAGCAGTCATGCAATCGATTCAAAATTTGATTCTCCCTATTCATTGGAGGCCAGGTCTAGGGTAAGGAAAGAAGATTATAATTAGACTTCTTTTGCTTTACAAAGAAATATGTTGTGCATAGAATTGCTGCATTCTTTTATAATTTTCTATTTGTTTGATTCTACTTGGAAAACAACTCATTAGGGAAATCGCATTCTCTTTCTTGAAAGTAGTTGCAGCAATAATTAACCAGGACAAGATTCTGTTGACAGCTACCCTAAAGATTTTATTTTTCACACGAAACACCAAAAATGCAGAAAACACAATTAAGAAAGTTATTTTGCATAGATCAGACGGGCACTTAGAAAGGCCAAAAATTTGCAATAACCATTTGTTATATCTTGTTTCCTTAAAAAACTTCCAGGGTTTTGATGCCCCCTTATGGAAGAAGATTCTTGGAATGACGCTTACAGGTGTGGCACAAATTCTAAAACTTGTCTTTTCTCATTGCATGTGGCTGACTTCACTTTTTCTATTGAATCAGGTGGAAAGCTTGATGATATTACAGTAATTGTTGGTCAGGTTGTAAGTTCTTGAGAAATGCTAGTTATGCTTATGAATCAAAACAAGGTCCTGATTACTGAGATCACCAGAGAAGGAGTCACCATAAGTATATTGTCTATGGAAATGCTCCTGCTTTGCCATGAAGCTTTTCTCCTTCATGCATTGAGAAAGGTTGTCTGAGACATTCATTGAAAATAGTTTTGTTTATGAAATGCTATGCCTAGGAATTGTCTTTGATACTGTGGACTGTTGAGAAGCATGATTGTGAACGGAAAAATAGAATCAGTAGCAGCAAGCAAAAGCTTGTAAAATTCATTAAGATAATGCATTTACCAGAAACCAAATGAAGACCTTATACCTGTATGATACACTATGCTTTTCTCATGCGACCACACGTTATATATGTATTAGTCTAAATCTACCAGAAGGCATAAAGAGGATAATCAAATGATTCAATGAGTAGTTCAAAACATATCCTAAAATCTTAATGGCAATGTTCAAGTCCATTCATTTTGGAATGAAAATTTTTTAGTCTTGTACAACTTATTTTTACACTAGCAATTATGGATAATGATGCATTTTCTTTTAAAATATCCTTGAGGAAGTTGTTGAAATGTTTTTAGAAAATATTATTGATTAAGCTTTAAATTGTTGATCTATATATTATAGTTTTTTAAACTTATCAACATGTTTCTGGTTTTTGAAAAAAAAAAGTTGTAATTATTTGTAAGCTATAATTTTTATTTCAAGTACAACAAATGCTTTTTAAATAGAAAGCTTATGTTGCAAATTAACTATAATTATATATTATAATTTTAAATATTTTTAATTTTAAAATTACATCTTTCTTTAAAAAAAATATATATCTTCTACAAGAGTCAATCTTATTTTAGTAAGGTCATTTTGACTAGGTAAAGTCACTATAAATAATAAATTTATCTTTCAAGTATTTAATACATTTAAAATATTACATCTTTATTTTTATTTTATTTTTTTTCTGAATTACAGATATCTTTTACATCAGACAATCTTGATCGAATGGAATAAGATTACTTCAAACTTTCAAAAGTGAACACACTGTTCTTTCATTTATCATCATGATTTTTTATTTCAATATATAATTTTATATTTATTTTTTATATTCACATATTATCTTTTTATCGTTTGCTGTAATCATAACAACAACCTCCACATAAAGTGTAATTTATCCCGACAAAGTGTGTAGGGTGTACCATTGAACAACGACGTTCTTCAGGCAAAAGAAGTAGGTAACTATAGGGATCACCCATTGTCTTCCATCTGTATTCCAAGCATTTGACCAAAATAAAGAAGAAAAATCTCCTCATGGAATTGAATGAATGTTTGGTTATTGGAATATTGCTTTGTCATTATGCGTTTGACATTCTTAATTATAATCTTGTTGTCCAGTGTAACTTAAAAACAAAGTGATTTAAATTTCTAATGAATTTTAATTATCATACATTGAATCTCTTTTATAAAAACACCCCAGAAAATTGGAATTGCATTTTTACAAACATTATTTTGTAAGCTTTAACTGTGAATTTGTGAATGCTCCCTTCAGACTCTTGACTTATCAAAAGACGTTTTACTTATATATTTCCGATGAATTCTCATATCATGTGAATTCTAATACTTATTTAACATAAATTAAGTCCTCTCTATAAAAAACAACACCATAAAAGCTGGAGTTATACTTGACTTTTTCCTGTAACATTATTTTGTAAACTTCACGTGTGAATTTGTGAATGCCCCCCTTCGATCTCTTGAGAGTTTTAGATTTATGTTTCCTTGTTGTCCAAAATATACACTCTCTTACCCTCTTCAAACTAACAGTTACTTCTTTTGTGATTATTTGAGCTTGTTATTTTACAAATGAAATAAAAGAGAGCTTTGTTATATTTTTATATTTCATCTTCTTAATAACTTTCTACTATTTTATAAAGTAACAATAGATAAAAACAATACATATATTTATCGTCTTAAAAATATAAAATATTTTATTTGTATGCATGGTGATTAAAAGAATTAGTAAAAATAAAAAATAGAAGAATTTAGAATGATTCAAATGAAAGATATATGTTTTTATATTATATTATATATAAATATAAAATTTAAACTTTTCACATGCACTAAACCCTAAAGACACTGTTATAGTCATGTAAGTAACTAACCCAAAAGAGAAAGTGAGAAACAAAGATGTATCTAAATCCCAACATATTCTTTTGATCATGTCCTCCCACTTAAAGGAATGCAAATATCAACTAACAAAACCACTATATCCTATCAAAGTTGAGTCACCCAACCCAATGATTTCGGTTCATTATATTTTGCCCTCCTCACCCCATGACTTCATTAATTGATTATTAATGTTATATTTAAGTACCATAGATTGCCAATTGAAATACTAGCAAACAAGAAGGCAATCACATCCATGCCTAATAGCCCATATCGCTTATAGAATACAAGTGGTTTGAAAATGTGCAGAGGATGGTGCAAGATATGGTACACATGAGATAATTTTTGGACAACAAATGACACGTTCAATTGTCAGATCCTACCCTCCTCGTCTTAGATCAATGGCGTTGCACACCAACCAATATAGTGTCAACAATAATGGCACTGCATGAAATTCAAGCATACCCTTTCAATAAATTTTGCACTAGCTAGCCATAGCTAGAACATGCTACATAGCCAAGATGCTATGGTCTTTTATAGGACAAGAAGATGAGGAAGAAAGATTCGTACATATAATTCAAGATTCAGATGAAGAAAAAGGGAGATTGACTCTGACTAAGGGAAAAGTAATAGTGCAATGAACTTCAATTGCCGAAGAAGTAACACATGGAAGCGCAAAAGAGGGCTTGAATGGGGGATACCACAAAACTTTGGTTTTTCAAACATGGCCCTGTGCCTATTAAATACACACTCATTGTCAAATAATGAATTATTCAAAAACTTGAGCCACTGGGAGAGGATTTATAAAAAATCCAAAATAATATTTTTATTAAAAATTAAAATATTTAATAATATTTTTAATACACTACTAAACTCGTGGATTTATTATTATGAGATTGTTTTTACTTAACTTGTAGTTTTAAATTTGAGTTTCATTAAATATAATTATGTTAAATACTTCAAAAAAAATTTGAGTTTTACCTAATTCAAACAAAATTATTTCAAGTGGAAAATCCTTGTAGTCCAGACTAAAAGAAATAATATTTTTACCCACATTAAAATTTGTAATAATTTATTATTTTTAATAAAAAAATTTACTTTATATAAATTATTAACACGTTTCTTTAAGTAAATGTTATAAAAATTAAATTAAATAATTACCTTTATATTTAGTAGGGATTGAATGCCTAAATCAAAATAGAATTCAATGAATAGAGGAATATTAATTCGTCTCCCTCTCCTAAAACTTTTTCGTATGTATGCTGAATGAAGGTTTCCAAGACAATATAGTTGCCCCTGGGGAATGCTTTAGACGATTCATTCAGATATGTCACTTTTATACGTCTATCTCAATTTTAAACGTAATTAAAGTTTTGATAAATAAAGTTGCAATTACTTTTTTTTATATATATATTGCAGTATTATAAAATCATTTATAAATGAAATTTTGAATGTATGTCTAAAAATATTATCTATAATAATATTTAATTTTTAATAAAAAAATTATTTTATAAAACTTTATTGTGATATTCCATTAAATGTTTCAGACACTTCTTATTCAGTATGATAGACACAGACAAATTCCATTCCTCAAAATAGCAGGTTAATTAGACTTTGGCTATTATGGCCTGTAACCAGTGCAGTTGAATCAGATGATTCTGTCGTTGGCATTTATATGTTTGTCTGCTATAAAAGTTATCCTATTTTTATTTCAATTATTTGTCAAACATGATGAATAGTGCTAGATTAAGATTTTAAAAAATAACAAAATTATTAAAGATCACGTTAAAAGTTATTATGAGTTTTTAAAAATTTAATATTTTTAATTTTTCTACTAGTGTTCTAAGAACATTCATTGGATTTTTAAAAAAATAATAAAATTTTTCACTAAGTTTTTAATATATTGTTTATTCTTAGATGAATTTTATATGGGTTTACTAAATAGATACCGATAAGATTTAGAAATTCTAATATGAACTTTGTCCCATAATTAAAAAAAAAATATAATATATAATTTTATGTTCAAAAGTGACAATTTATATTAATATTTATTCATAAAAAAATATATTGGGAAAAACTTGTTTACTAGCATTAGGAATGACACTAGGTATGGTATAAGTAGGGTACTATAGTACTCCTCCCTATATCTGAGTTTTAAAAAAATATTTGTGTCCAGACCTATACTCGCGTGGGTATAAACATTAATTCCCGTACCCGTATCCTCTGGGTACCCGCATACCCATCTTGTAACCATTACTCGCGCTTATTTAAGAAAAAAAAATATTTATAAAGAAAAATATGTTTATATAACTTCACATAAGTAGCATAATAATACAAAAATTCAATATGTAGTTGTCAAATAAGGTACAAACATAAATAAAAAACAAATATTTAAAGATCATAAATATTAAATGTATCTTAATATAATAATTTTCTAAACTAAAATTTTTAGAAATAATAAGTGAAACTAAACACACAAGTTATTTGTCAATAATAACCCTATCTTGTGTGAGATTTGATCAATTGGCAATGTAAAAGCGACAATAAAATAAATTTGTACAATGGTTATCCTTCTGTGGCATCGCTTAATGACTTCTTATAACGGCATTGACAACAAACTCTAATGAATAACGTTTCATTCATAGTTGTTAAGTTTTAATGAAACAGATATTGAGAATGAGAATGAAGTTAGAGTTGAGAAGTTTAATACTAACAACAGAAAGTTGATACATAATTTTTTTTTTAATTTTTGAATTTGAAATTATAAGAAAAATAATAGATTTAATTAAAATAATATAATATATATATATATATATTAATACTAGTATTTTTAACTCATATACTATACAAAAGTATTTTATCAAAAATACAAATTTTTGAAAAATTATTTTAATGAATTAAATATTTATAATGTATATAAATTTTAAAAGAAAAAATTTGAATAAAAGATAAATAGTTATAACAAAATTTTATAATAAAGAAATATACGTGTATATTAAAAAAATTATACTTTTTTATCTGAAAAAATTAACAAATAAAAATTAACAATAATTTTTTATATTTATATCTTTTCAAAAACTTCTCTGAACGTGAATAAATAGTAAGAATAATATTATTTACGTTCAATAGATTATAGTTGTGTTTATAATACATATGTTGCATAGAAAAATATTATTTTAAATTAAAATATAAAAAATAAAATTTAAATATTATTAATAAATAATAAGTTTACGGTAATAGTAAGTGATTGTAAAATTTATAAAATATT